TTTGTTGTTGTTGTTATTCTGTCTCTCACTATTCAAATAAACCTACCATTAAAATGATATACTGATCATTTCTTTGTAAGTGGGCAAACGGACAAAATCAGCAGGGGATCAAATACTTTTTTCCCTCACTGTATGTGGGAACTCCCTCAAGACTGTTGGAAAAGCATTCCAGGTGAAGCTGGTTGAGAGAATGCCAAGAGTGTGCAAAGCTGTCATCAAGGCAAAGGGTGGCTATTTGAAGAATCTCAAATATAAAATATATTTTGAATGGTTACTACACAATTCCATATGTGATATTTCATAGTTTTGATGTCTTCACTATTATTCTACAATGTAGAAAATAGTAAAAATAAAGAAAAACCCTTGAACAAATAGCTGTGTCCAAACTTTTGACTGGTACTGTGTGTATATATATATATATATATATATATATATATATATATATACACAGTTGAAGTCAGAAGTTTACATACACTTAGGTTGGAGTCATTAAAACTTGTTTTTCATCCACTCCACAAATGTCTTGTTAACAAACTATAGTTTTGGTAAGTCTTTTAGGACAGTAATTTTTCCAACAATTGTTTACAGACTGATTATTTCACTTATAATTCACTGTATCACAATTCCAGTGGGTCAGAAGTTTACATACACTAAGTTGACTGTGCCTTTAAACAGCTTGGAAATTTTCAGAAAATTATGTCATGGCTTTAGAAGCTTCTGATAAGCTAATTTGCATAATTTGAGTCAATTGGAGGTGTACCTGTGGATGTATTTCAAGGCCTACCTTCAAACTCAGTGCCTCTTTGCTTGACATCATGGGAAAATCAAAAGAAATCAGCCAATTGTAGACCTCCACAAGTCTGGTTCATCCTTGGGAGCAATTTCCAAACGCCTGAAGGTACCACGTTCATCTGTACAAACAATAGTATGCAAGTATAAACACCATGGGACCACGCAGCCATCATACCGCTCAGGAAGGAGACGCGTTCTGTCTCCTAGAGATTAACGTACTTTAGTGCGAAAAGTGCAAATCAATCCCAGAACAACAGCAAAGGACCTTGTGAAGATGCTGGAGGAAACAGGTAAAAAAGGATCTATATCCACAGTAAAATGAGTCCTATATCGACATAACCTGAAAGGCCGCTCAGCAAGGAAGAAGCCACTGCTCCAAAACCGCCATAAAAAAGCCAGACTATGGTTTGCAAATGCACATGGGGACAAAGATCATACTTTTTGGAGAAATGTCCTCTGGTCTGATGAAACATAAATAGAACTGTTTGGCCATAATGACCATTGTTATGTTTGGAAGAAAAAGTGGGTGACTTGCAAGCCGAAGAACACCGTCCCAACCGTGAAGCACGGAGGTGGCAGCATCATGCTGTGGGGGTGCTTTGCTGCAGGAGGGACTGGTGCACTTCACAAAATAGATGGCATCATGAGGAAGGAAAATTATGTGGATATATTGAAACAACATCTCAAGACATCAGTCAGGAAGTTACAGCTTGGTTGCAAATGGGTCTTCCAAATGGACAATGACCCCAAGCATACTTCCAAAGTTGTGGCAAAATGGCTTAAGGACAACAAAGTCAAGGTATTGGAGTAGCCATCACAAAGCCCTGACCTCAATCCTATAGAAAATGTGTGGGCAGAACTGAAAAAGTGTGTGCAAGCAAGGAGGCCTACAAACCTGACTCAGTTACACCAGCTCTGTCAGGAGGAATGGGCCAAAATTCACAAAATGCACTTATTGTGGGAAGCTTGTGGAAGGCTACCCAAACCGTTTGACCCAAGTTAAACAATTTAAAGGAAATTCTACCAAATACTAATTGAGTGTATGTAAACTTCTGACCCACTGGGAATGTGATGAAAGAAATAATAACCTTAAATAAATCATTCTCTCTACTATTATTTACATTTCAAGTTCTTAAAATAAAGTGGTGATCCTAACTGACCTAAGACAGGGAATTTTTACTAGGATTAAATGTCAGGAATTGTGAAAAACTGAGTTTAAATGTATTTGGCTAAGGTGTATGTAAACTTCCGACTTCAACTGTGTGTGTATATATATATATATATACACAGTGGGGGGAAAAAGTATTTAGTCAGCCACCAATTGTGCAAGTTCTCCCACTTAAAAAGATGAGAGAGGCCTGTAATTTTCACCATAGGTAGACGTCAACTATGACAGACAAATTGAGAAGAAAAAAATCCAGACACTCAAACTTTCAACTATACTTTAATTTGATGCAAGACATTTCTGCATTTTCTATTTTTTGTAGTTACAAACAATTCACTGCAACAAAACTTGCAGTTTCAAAGTAACATATACAAAACGGAAACAGATACGTACATACGATTTACATTAATGATAATCTGAATAGGATAATGGGTAAAACAAAATTAAATAAATGTTGAAACTTTTTTTTCTCACTTTATAAAATGCTTCCATCTATTCTCTGTGGAATGTATTGCGATGACATAAAAAAAAAATACATTTTGAAAACATATAAAAACATTGAACCTGAATTGAGTAAGCGCTTCATGTGGAATCAAATCACATTACATACAATACAGGAACAAATTGGAACATTTCATGCACTGTATAACCATACAAGTAAAAACTGAAATATAATACATTTCTTTAATTCCCAACAGAACAAATGAAATGATTCTCTCTGTAACATAACGACAAGGACTGATGATATGATTGGTCTCATGAAGAGTAACGTCGTTCCAGTTCCATTTTGGAACTCCCCAAAATATTCCAGTTTGTGATGAGATAGCAGTAATGGCAGGTATAATCTATTGATGAAGATGGCAGTAATGGCAGGTATAATCTATTGATGAGATGGCAGTAATGGCAGGTATAATCTATTGATGAGATAGCAGTAATGGCAGGTATAATCTATTGATGAGATAGCAGTAATGGCAGGTATAATCTATTGATGAGATAGCAGTAATGGCAGGTATAATCTATTGATGAGATAGCAGTAATGGCAGGTATAATCTATTGATGAGATAGCAGTAATGGCAGGTATAATCTATTGATGAAGATGGCAGTAATGGCAGGTATAATCTATTGATGAGATAGCAGTAATGGCAGGTATAATCTATTGATTAGATAGCAGTAATGGCAGGTAGAATCTATTGATGAGATGGCAGTAATGGCAGGTATAATCTATTGATGAGATAGCAGTAATGGCAGGTATAATCTATTGATGAGATAGCAGTATGGCAGGTAAATCTATTGATTGAGATGGCAGTAATGGCAGGTATAATCTATTGATGAGATGCAGTAATGGCAGGTATAATCTATTGATGAGATGGCAGTAATTGGCAGGTATAATCATTGAAAGAGATGGCAGTAATGGCAGGTATAATCTATTGATGAGATGCAGTAATGGCAGTATATCTATGATGAGATAGCAGTAATGGCAGGTATAATCTATTGATGAGATGGCAGTAAGGCAGGTAGAATCATTGATGAGATGCAGTAATGGCAGGTAGAATCTATTGATGAGATGGCAGTAATGGCAAGGTATAATCTATTGTTGAGATGGCATATATGGCAGGTAGAATCTATTGATGAATGGCAAGTAATGGCAGGTAGAATCTATTGATGAGATGGCAGTAAAGGCAGGTGTAACTCTATTGATGGAGATGGCAGTAATGGCAGGTATAATCTATTGATGAGATGGCAGTAATGGCAGGTATAATCTATTGATGAGATGGCAGTAATGGCAGGTATAATCTATTGATGAGATGGCAGTAATGGCAGGTATAATCTATTGATGAGATGGCAGTAATGGCAGGTATAATCTATTGATGAGATGGCAGTAATGGCAGGTAGAATCTATGTTGAGATGCACAGTAATGGCAGGTAGAATCTATTGATGAGATAGCAGTAATGGCAGGTATAATCTATTGATGAGATGGCAGTAATGGCAGGTAGAATCTATTGATGAGATGGCAGTAATGGCAGGTAGAATCTATTGATGAGATGGCAGTTAATGGCAGGTATAATCTATGATGAGATGGCAGTAATGGCAGGATAATCTATGTATGAGACTGGCAGTAATGGCAGGTAGAATCTATTGTTGAGATGGCAGTAATGGCAGGTAGAATCTATTGATGAGATGGCAGTAATGGCAGGTAGAATCTATTGATGAGATGGCAGTAATGGCAGGTAGAATCTATTGATGAGATGGCAGTAATGGCAGGTAGAATCTATTTGTAACTAAAACAAATGTGTAACAGGCAGTGTTAACCAGGACATCACACATTCAAACTGACACAGGACTCAATTAATTGCAGATAGTGGGTTTCTGGATAGCTGTTTGAGAAGTGCATTTGATATAGAAATTGACACTTACACATGAAAATTAACCTTTGATATAAAAGTTGACCATTTTGCCCATTGCTATCTGGAAATCCTATATAAGCAATAGATTGAATACAGAGCCTAAATGCATGTTCCAAATGTCTAGGGAGCGACCGTTCACAGATCATGCTTCTGTTTGTTAGGACTTCAACATGTAACATAGAATATATATATTAAACACGTGTACGTAACACTTTCATTGTGCTCCTTTCACACATCTTGTCTTGACGTCAAGATAATAGTACTTTTTCCAATATACAATATGGCACAGAGATACACCGTAGAACGTATTTACTGACACACACACATATATATAAAAATATTTCTGGCTTTAAAAAGGTAGACTCAATATGACATCATCATACACAGTGGGGGGACAACTTCCTGCTTACAGACGTCAACAGCAACATTCTCCCCCAAAATCTCCCAATCCTTCCACTATTGGTTCCTCCCTATGCGTACAGACATACCGGTAGTCTTGGCCAATGTTGTTGTTCTCTGTAAGCAGGAAGTGACATCACACTACCGTTCAGACGAAGTGGGCCTCCCTGTGTTCTAGCTCCTGCAGGTGCGAGCTGGGTCTGGCCCGGGGTCTCAGTCTCTGTTGCAGCGGTATGACCTCGGTCGGGCTGGGCTCTTCCGGGCCGCTGGGGGGAGGGGACTGGCAGGGGGAAAGGTCAGCGGAGGTCGTGACCTCAGGGTCAACACTAACGGAGCTGTCCACGGAGTCCTGCGGGGTGTGTGTGGGGTGGTTTGAGGATTGATGGGATGGGGTGGTGGTGGTGGTGGTGGGGGTGGTGGTGGTGGTGGTGGTATCCACAGGAGAAGAGGAGAAAGTAATGCTGGAGGAATGGGAGGAAGAGAGGAGGAGAGGAGCAGTAACCGTAGGAGAAGTTGGGGAGGTTTTAACAGTAGGAGAAGTTGGGGAGGTTTTAACAGTAGGAGAAGTTGGGGAGGTTTTAACAGTAGGAGAAGTTGGGGAGGTTTTAACAGTAGGAGAAGTTGGGGAGGTTTTAACAGTAGGAGAAGTTGGGGAGGTTTTAACAGTAGGAGAAGTTGGGGAGGTTTTAACAGTAGGAGAAGTTGGGGAGGTTTTAACAGTAGGAGAAGTTGGGGAGGTATTGGTGGGGCTAGTGGTCCCAGAGGCACTTGATGACAGCCAGCCTCTGGCGCATGAAGAACCAGGAGGCTTGTAGAAGGTTCCGGGTGGAGGCTGCAGAGTCCGTGGTTGTCTGAACGTTATGGAAGAGTTGGTAGAGGTTCTAGTCTCCCCCCGACCACCTCCAGCAGCAGAGTTAGACCTACCCATAGTCTCCTCTCTGTCTCCTCTGGACGTCTGGCCAGCCTTCGCCGACACGGTGGAAGGGCTGTTGGGGAATATGGTGCTGACACTACTACTGGATGGGAGAGCAGAGCTGGTCGGCCCAGATACGGACAGTTGTGTCGGCATCTTCAGCTGCTTCCCCGGTTGTGTCCCGGGGCCCGTACCGGCCGGCGGTAAATTAGCCACGATCTTGGCGGTGCGCGGCGTGACGTCATAGTGTTTGTACTTCCTGTCCCAGGTCTTCCGCTGCATGGCCTGCTGGGTGTCGATGAAGGGTGTGATGTAATAGGTACTGACCCTTGACCCCCCACCAATCCGAGGCTTCTCAGCCTCCTTCTGCTTCTCTGGCTCGGCTGACTCCATGATGGTGTCAGCGGTGAGATCCAACGTGATGGCAGCGTTGGTGTTACGGCTGTTTCTGTCGACGACCTGAGAGACGAGATGAGATTGTACTTTATTAATCCCCATTAAAGGAAATAGGTTCATCATACTTACAGCCATAGTTAAAAAAAAACAATACAACACAACATTAAAAACAATCACAAGACAATTACAATATGTACAACGAATGCAACAGCAGTTAAAGTGATGGGTGTTGACCTGTGAGGGGGTGGGGAGGGGCAAACGCTCCAGGGGCATGCTGATTGGTCGAGACACCATTCTAGTGCGCTGGGGGCGGAGCTGGACCCTCGGGGCCGTAGAGGAAGAGGAGTTGAGGCTGGGACGGCCAAACACCAGGGTAGATCTCTGGACCTACGGGACAGAATGGACAAACATGTGTTTCGTTGCTGACTCCTGACTCCTGACTCCTGACTCTTAAGCATTGATGTTGAACCTGAAAAGTTCATTTATGTGCGTTGTCCCTGTCAAATACATTTCATAACTAACTAACTGAATCACTCTCTCGCTCAGAAACAAACCAACCAACCGAGGCGGCACCAGCAGCAGAGGAGGAGGAGCCGACACCATTGAGTCTCTCCATGGCTGTTAACTCTGTCCTGTCTGGTCCTGTCCTGTCTGGTCCCGTCCTGTCTGTCTTCCCCTCTCTCACCTCATCCAGGGTATGAGAGGGCTGGATGACCGACGAGTGCCTCTTGTAGACTTTGGCGCTCTGCTTGGAGACGGTTCGGGAAACATCAAATAACGACAACAAAGCAAAACAGTCAATTGATTCTTACCAAGGTGGTCAATCTTTACATTCAATCTTATACACTCCATTCAATTGCCACCTATGCTTTGATTGGTATAATAAATAGCTCTGGACCTAATTAACCCTTATCCCCCCCCTCCCTCCTCCCCTGCAATGGATATGACTTTGCATAAATGGTTGAATCATTAAAAGACACTTGGACCTCCTCACCTCCTTGATGTCGAGCAGGGAGGTGGAGTGGCGGCTGAGTCTCTGCTCCTTCTCCTGAGAGGTGAGTCGGGGGGAGGCCCGGCCCACCGTGGAGGTGGTGGTGGGGGGGTGGGAGGAGGAGGAGGAGGAGGCCCGGCCCACCGTGGAGGTGGTGGTGGAGGAGGAGGAGGAGGAGGGGCTGGACAAGTCAAAGATCATGTGGAAGTGGCGTACCAGCAACTCCACCATCAGTGCCTGGGAGGAGAGGATCAAAGTGATGTCAATAAAGGACTAAACCAACTGCAGTAAAATGATCATTTAGATTTTGTCAAGTTCTTTCACAGGCAACACTGTTATGAAAATACAGGGGTATTCTACAGGTAAATACCTGGTAGGGTTAAGGGGTATTCGACAGGGACATACCTGGTAGGGTTAAGGGGTATTCGACAGGGACATACCTGGTAGGGTTAAGGGGTATTCTACAGGGACATACCTGGTAGGGTTAGGGGGTATTCGACAGGGACATACCTGGTAGGGTTAAGGGGTATTCTACAGGGACATACCTGGTAGGGTTAGGGGTATTCTACAGGTACATACCTGGTAGGGTTAAGGGGTATTCTACAGGGACATACCTGGTAGGGTTAGGGGTATTCTACAGGGACATACCTGGTAGGGTTAAGGGGTATTCTACAGGTAAATACCTGGTAGGGTTAGGGGTATTCTACAGGGACATACCTGGTAGGGTTAGGGGTATTCGACAGGTACATACCTGGTAGGGTTAGGGGGTATTCTACAGGGACATACCTGGTAGGGTTAGGGGTATTCTACAGGGACATACCTGGTAGGGTTAAGGGGTATTCTACAGGTAAATACCTGGTAGGGTTAAGGGGTATTCTACAGGGACATACAGTGAGGGGGAAAAGTATTTGATCCCCTGCTGATTTTGTACGTTTGCCCACTGACAAAGACATGATCAGTCTATAATTTTAATGGTAGGTTTATTTGAACAGTGAAAGACAGAATAACAACAACAAAATCCAGAAAAATGCATGTCAAAAATGTTATAAATTTATTTGCATTTTAATGAGGGAAATAAGTATTTGACCTCTCAATCAGAAAGATTTCTGGCTCTGGTTAGGGGTATTCTACAGGTATATATACCTGGTAGGATTAGGGTTAACAGGAACTCACCTGGTAGGGGTAGTCAACCAGAGAAGACAGGGAGACCTCTGCGTCAGTATGTCGTGGTTTGACCAGCGTAGGGCCGAAGATAATGCCCAGATTACTGGCTGTCATCTTGTTTTCCTCCGCCTGCTCTGTCACCCTACATAAACAACATATATAAATAATATACAGAGGAAGTATAATATTACACTTGATAAAGATGAGCAAGAAAGACAAAATAAATCATACAAATACTGAGTTATATTGGTATGATTGTATTGGAGGGGGTGGGGGTGGGGGTTGGAGGTCGGGAGGAGGTGGTGTGGGAGGATGGTTGGGGGGAGGAAGGGGGTGGGATGGATGTAGGAAGGGGGTGGGTAGGTGGTGATGAGGGGGTGGTTAAGGGTGTGGAGTGGTGGGGGATGTGGGGGATGGGTGAGGGGTGGGCGGGGGGGGGGGAGCGGGGGAGAGGGGTGGGGTGAGGGGGGGAGGGGGGTGGGCGTGGTGGTGGGGTTGGGTGGGGAGGGTTGGGTGGGGGTGGGTGGGCGTGGGCGGGGTGTGGGGGGGGTGGGTGTTGAGTGGGGGGTGGGGGGGTGGGAGGGAGGGGTGGGGTGGGGTGTAGGAGGGGTGGGGGTGGGAGGGGGTGGGTGGGTGTGGGGGGTGGGGTGTGGAGGGGGTGGGTGTGGGGGGTGGGGTGTGGGGGTGCGGTGTTGCTCGGGGGTGAGGGGTGGTGGGGAGGGTGGAGGTGGGTGGGGTTTGCGGGGGGGGGGTGTGGGGGGGTGGGGGGGGTGGGGTGGTGTGGGGTGGGTGGTGCGTGGTGGTGTGGAGGGGGGTGGGGTGTGTGGGGGGGTGGGTGTGTGGGGGGGTGGGTGGGGTGGGGTGGGTGTGTGGAGGGGGTGGGGTGGGTGGGAGGGGGTGGGGTGTGAGTGCGTGCGTGCATGTGTTTGCACCCATCTCTTACCTGTGTAGGTGTGCTGTGAGGAAGCGTAGGGCCCTGTACTGTGCAGGAGGCAGCTGTCGTAACAGGTCTCTAATCTTAAACAGGACTCTGTTGAGTTTGATACTGGGCTGGTTGGGGAGCTCTCCTCCAGGCTGGCTGGTTCTCAGGGGAGGCTGCTCTCCCTCTACCCCAGGCTGAGTGCCTCCTGGTCGGGGTTGTTCTCCCCCTGGCTGTCCCTGGCTCTGGGTCTGGGTCTGGGTCTGGAGGGCCCTGGCTGCAGCCTTCTCCTCTATGATCACCGCCTGGCTCTCCTTGGCCAGCCCGATGAAATCATTATAGTAACGGTACAGGATCAGTGGCTCTGGTAACTACAGAAGATAGAAATCAAGAAATGAATAAATCAATATCTTTGGGAAATGTGTTGTACAATATTACATGAGAATGATCTAGCGGTGTAAAACAAGGATGCTTTTTTTTTTATCACCATTCAATTACACTGTCTCACCTGTCTCAGGTAGAGTTTGAGCACGTTGCCGATGTCGTGGGGTGAGAGGTCAGAGAGCTCAACCAGGTCTTTGCCGTTCTCAAACGCCTGGCACAGCTTCTCCACGCGAGACTTGGCCCCGTTCACGCGGTAGATTCCCTGAACAAGAACACACAATACACCAGATCACCAACATCCAACATCACAGCCCCGACATATACCCTGGACAAACACAGCCCATTAGTTCCAGTTAGAGACTATGAGAACGTCAAATCATTTAAATGGGAGTGTATCTGAACAAGTTACATCTCTCTTGACATATACAGTGGGATCCAAAATTATTGGATCTTTTGGTAAAGATGAGCAAAAAATACTATAAAAATGGCTTGTGGATGCTGATTGGTTGATTGCAGGAAGTTATAGCACCTATATTATATTATATATTATATATTATATTATAGTTATAGCGGTCTAAGGCACTGCATCTCAGTGCTTGAGGCGTCACTACAGACCCCCTGGTTCGATTCCAGGCTGTATCACAACCTGCCGTGATTGGGAGTCCCATAGGGCGGCGCACAATTGGCCCAGCGTCGTCCGGGTTTGGCCGGTGTAGGCCGTCATAATAAAAATAAAAATAAAATTCTTAACTGACTTGCCTAGTTAAATAAAGGTAAAATAAAAAAATAAAAAAAATAAACAATCCCCACATTCCACGGGTAATGCCTGTTAGCAGTTCCATTTGAATCAACTGTCCCACAGCCCAGCCAGTCAGTTTATTAACATAGAATGAACGACTGGGTCAAAACATCCCAAAATAATCATCGACCTGGCCAAGGCTTTCGACTCTGTCAACCACCGCATTCTTATTGGCAGACTAAATAGCCTTGGTTTCTCAAATGACTGCCTCGCTAGGTTCACCAACTACTTCTCAGATAGAGTTCAATGTGTCAAATCGGAGGGCCTGTTGTCTGGACCTCTGGCAGTCTCTATGGGGGTGCCACAGGGTTCAATTCTCGGGCCGACACTTTTCTCCGTGTATATCAATGATGTCGCTCTTGCTGCTGGTGACTCTCAGATCCACCTCTACGCAGACGACACCATTTTGTATACATCTGGCCCTTCATTGGACACTGTGTTAACAAACCTCCAAACGAGCTTCAATGCCATACAACACTCCTTCAGTAGCCTCCAACTGCTCTTAAACACTAGTAAAACTAAATGCATGCTCTTCAACCGAACGCTGCTTGCACCCGCCCACCTGAATATAGAATCAATACTCTCGGCGGGTCTGACCTAGAGTATGTGGACAACTACAAATACCTAGGTGTCTGGTTAGACTGTAAACTCTCCTTCCAGACTCACATTAAGCATCTCCAATCAAAAGTTAGATCTAGAATCGGCTTCCTATTTCGCAACAAAGCCTCCTTCACTCATGCTGCCAAACATGCCCTCGTAAAACGGACTATCCTACCGATCCTTGACTTCGGCTATGTCATTTACAAAATAGCCTCCAACACTCTACTCAGCAAATTGGATGTAGTCTATCACAGTGCCATCTGTTTTGTCTCCAAAGCCCCATACACTACCCACCATTATGACCTGTACGCTCTTGTTGGCTGGCCCTCACTACATATTCGTCGCCAAACCTACTGGCTCCAGGTCATCTATAAATCACTGCTAGGCAAATCCCCGTCTTATCTTAGCTCACTGGTCACCATAGCAACACCCACCCGTAGTCTGCGCTCCAGCAAGTATATCTCACTGGTCATCCCCAAAGCCAACACCTCCTTTGGCCGCCATTCCTTCCAGTTCTCTGCTGCCAATGACTGGAACGAACTGCAAAAATCTCTGAAGCTGGAGACACTTATCTCCCTCATTAACTTTAAGCATCAGTTGTCAGAGCAGCTTACCGATCACTGCACCTGTACACAGCCCATCTGTAATTAGCCCACCCAACTACCTCATCCCCATATTGTTATTTATTTTGCTAATTTGTACCCCAGTATCTCTATTTGCACATCATCTTTTGCACATCTATCATTCCAGTGTTAATACTAATTGTAATTATTTTGCACTATAGCCTATTTATTGCCTTACCTCCATAACTTGCTACATTTGCACACACTGTATATATATTTTCTGTTGTATTTTTGACTTTATGTTTTGTTTACCCCATATGTAACTCTGTGTTGTTGTTTTTAATCGCACTGCTTTGCTTTATCTTGGCCAGGTCGCAGTTGTAAATGAGAACTTGTTCTCAACTGGCTTACCTGGTTAAATAAAGGTGAAAAATAAATAAAAATCAGCATGAACTTTACCCAGTACCAGGACATTTTAGCCCAAAACCTGTTTGCCTCCGCCAGGAGGCTGAAACTTGGCTGCAAGTGGATCTTCCAGCAAGACAATAACCCCAAGCACACATCAACATCCACAAAGAAATGGTCCACAAAATCAACATTTTGCAATGGCCATCTCAGTCTCCGGACTTGAACCCCATTGAAAACCTGTGGTTTTATTTGACGAGGGAAGTCCATAAACGCAGAGGAAGGATATCAAGGATCTGGAAAGATTTGAATGGAGGAATGGTCTAAGATCCCTCCCAATGTGTTCTCCAACAACATTTTAGAAAAAGGCTCAGTGTCATTATCCTACCAAGGGGAGGGTCCTGGAGTATTGAAAACAGGGGATACAATCATTTTGACCCCTATCTTTTTTAGTTTTTTATTTATTTACTAAACAAAATCTCTTTCTCTGAGCAATTGTATTAGTATATAATAATAATGTTTAAATGTTTTTTGAGCATACAATATACAGTCAGGTCCATAAGCATTTGGACAGTGACACAATTTGCATCATTTTGGCTCTGTATGCCACCACAATGGATTTGAAAGGAAACAATCAAAATGTGCTTTAAGTGTAGACTTTCATCTTTAATTTAAGGGTATTGTAAAAATGATTGTATGAAGCGTGTTGGAATTACAACCATTTTTATAAATAGCCACCCAATTTTAGGGGCTCAAAAGTAATTGGACAAACTAACATAATCATAAATTGAATTGTGAGTTTTAATACTTGGTTGCAAATCCTTTGCAGTCAATGACTGCCTGAAGTCTGGAACCCATAGACATCACCTGATGCTGGGTTTCTTCCCTGGTGATGCTCTGCCAGGCCTTTCCTGCAGCTGTCTTCAGTTCCTGCTTGCCTTCAGTTTTGCCTTCAGCAAGTGAAATGCATGTTCAATTGGATTCAGGTCAAGTGATTGACTTGGCCATTGCAGAACATTCCACTTCTTTGCCTTTAAAAAGGGTATTGGGTTGCTTTCGCAGTATGCTTCGGTCCAATGAGTTTTGAAGCATTTGGCTGAATCTGAGCAGGTAATATAGCCCCTAAACACTTCAGAATTCATCCTGCTGCTTTTGTCAGAAGTCACATCATCAATAAATACAAGGGAACCAGTTCCATTGGCAGCCATACATGCCCACGCCATAACACTTCCTCCACCATGCTTCACAGATGAGGTGGTATGCTTCAGATCATGAGCAGTTCCTTCCCTTCTCCATACTCTTCTCTTCCCATCATTCTGGTACAAGTTGATCTTTGTCTCTGTCACGCCCTGGCTCTGGGGACAATGTTATGTTGAGCCAGGGTGTGTATTCTATGTTTGATTTTCTATGTTGGGCTGAGTGACTCCCAATCAGAGGCAACGAGTGACAGCTGGTTGTCTCTGATTGGGAGCCATATTTAACTATCGGTCTTTTCACTTTGTGTTGTGGTTTCTTGTTCCGTGTTGGTTTGTTTTTGTAACCAAGGACGTCACGTTTCGTTGTTTTGATCGTGTGATCTTGATAAAATAAATATGTTTGCTTTCAACGCTGCGCCTTGGTCCTCTCCCTCCTTAGACGATCGTGACAGAAGAAACCACCATAACAGGACCAAGCAGCATGAAGAAGAGAGAGGATGGACTTGGGAGCAGTTGAGTAGGAGTCTCGACTGGGCCAAGCCAAGAGAAGAGGAGAGAGGTTGGACTTTGGAGCAGTGGGGTGAGAGTCTGGCGAGAACGATGGAGGCCTGGCCCACGGGGAGGAGAGACCCCCAGAAAATTTTTAGGGGGGGGCTCACGACGTCGGACCAGCAGGAGGCCGCGATAGAGCGGCCCAGCGGGTTGCCAGAGGAGGCCGCCAGGTTACGGGGGCCACTGGTCGAAGAGGGGATGGAGGATGTAGAGGCACGGCGAGAGGTACTGGGGTGTGTTACCAGTCCGGTCCGGCCCGTTCCAGATCCCGAGGTAGAGCCAGTGGTGTGTGTCCCCAGTACGGTCCGGCCTGTTCCAGCCCCTCGCACCAAGTGTACGGTGCGCGTCGCCAGCCCAGCCCGGCCTGTCCCTGCTCCACGCACCAAGCCTACGGGGTGCGTCGCCAGCCCTGTCCGGCCCATCCAAGCTCCCCGCACCAAGCCAGTGGTGTGCGTCATCAGTCCGGCACGGCCCGTGCCTGCTCTCCGCACCAAGTCTGTGGTGCGTTTCGTCAGCCCTGTCCGGCCCGTTCCTGCTCTCCGCACCAAGCCTACGGTGTGCGTCGCCAGCCCAGCCCGGCCAGTCCCTGCTCCACGCACCAAGCCTACGGGGTGCGTCGCCAGCCCAGTCCGGCCCATCCAAGCTCCCCGCACCAAGCCAGTGGTGTGCGTCAGCAGTCCGGCACGGCCCGTGCCTGCTCTCCGCACCAAGTCTGTGGTGCGTTTCGTCAGCCCTGTCCGGCCCGTTCCTGCTCTCCGCACCAAGTCTGTGGTGCGCGTCGCCAGCCCAGTCCGGTCCATTCCTGCTCCACGCACCAAGCCAGGGGTGCGTATCGTCAGTCCGGCTCCGGCCAGCGGGGCCAGACCGGACCAGGGGTACTTTGGGGGGTTGGAGAGGGAGTGGGGATCAGGCCCGGAGCCGGATCCGCCGCCAAGGCGGAGTGCCCACCCGGTCCCTCCCCTGTGGGATTTAGTTGGCGCGGTCGGAGTCCGCGCCTTTAGGGGGGGGGTACTGTCACGCCCTGGCTCTGGGGACAATGTTATGTTGAGCCAGGGTGTGTATTCTATGTTTGATTTTCTATGTTGGGCTGAGTGACTCCCAATCAGAGGCAACGAGTGACAGCTGGTTGTCTCTGATTGGGAGCCATATTTAACTATCGGTCTTTTCACTTTGTGTTGTGGTTTCTTGTTCCGTGTTGGTTTGTTTTTGTAACCAAGGACGTCACGTTTCGTTGTTTTGATCGTGTGATCTTGATAAAATAAATATGTTTGCTTTCAACGCTGCGCCTTGGTCCTCTCCCTCCTTAGACGATCGTGACAGTCTCATCTGTCCATAGGATGTTGTTCCAGAACTGTACAGGTCTTCCTGTTTTTGAGGCTTACCAATGGTTTACATCTTGTGGTAAACCCTCTGTATTTACTCTGGTGAAGTCTTCTCTTGATGGTTGACTTTGACACAGGTACACCTACAGTTGAAGTCGGAAGTTTACATACACCTTAGCCAAATACATTTAAACTCAGTTTTTCACAATTCCTGACATTTAATCCTAGTAAAAATTCCCTGTCTTAGGTCAGTTAGCATCACCACTTTATTTTATGAATGTGAAATGTCAGAATAATAGTAGAGAGAATGATTTATTTCAGCTTTTATTTCTTTCATCACATTCCCAGTGGGTCAGAAGTTCACATACACTCAATTCGTATTTGGTAGCATTGCTTTTAAATTGTTTAACTTGGGTCAAACGTTTCAGGAAGCCTTCCACAAGCTTCCCACAATAAGTTGGGTGAATTTTGGCCCATTCCTCCTGACAGAGCTGGTGTAACTGAGTCAGGTTTGTAGGCCTCCTTGCTCACACACGCTTTTTCAGTTCTGCCCACACATTTTCTATAGGATTGAGGTCAGGGCTTTGTGATGGCCACTCCAATACCTTGACTTTGTTGTCCTTAAGCCATTTTGCCACAACTTTGGAAGTATGCTTGGGGTCATTGTCCATTTGGAAGACCCATTTGCAACCAAGCTGTAACTTCCTGACTGATGTCTTGAGATGTTGTTTCAATATATCCACATATTTTCCTTCCTCATGATGCCATGTATTTTGTGAAGTGCACCAGTCCCTCCTGCAGCAAAGCACCCCCACAGCATGATGCTGCCACCCCCGTGCTTCACGGTTGGGATGGTGTTCTTCGGCTTGCAAGCCACCCCGATTTCCTCCAAACATAACAATGGTCATTATGGCCAAACAGTTCTATTTTTGTTTCATCAGACCAGAGGACATTTCTCCAAAAAGTAAGATCTTTGTCCCCATGTGCAGTTGCAAACCGTAGTCTGGCTTTTTTATGGCGGTTTTTGGAGCAGTGGCTTCTTCCTTGCTGAGCGGCCTTTCAGGTTATGTCAATATAGGACTCGTTTTTACTGTGGATATAGATAATTTTGTACCTGTTTCCTCCAGCATCTTCACAAGGTCCTTTGCTGTTGTTCTGGGATTGATTTGCACTTTTCGCACCAATCTCTAGGAGACAGAACGCGTCTCCTTCCTGAGCGGTATGACGGCTGCGTGGTCCCATGGTGTTTATACTTGCGTACTATTGTTTGTACAGATGAACGTGCTACATGTTCCTGAGCTCACCAGAGCGTTCTTTCTTTTTAAGAATGTACCAAATAGTTGATTTGGCCGCACCTACTGTTTTTGCTTTCTCTCTGATGGGTTTCATTTGATTTTTCAGCCTAATGATGGTTTGCTTCACTGGCAGTGACAGCTCTTTGGACTTCATATTGAGGGTTAACAGCAACAGATTCCAAATGCAAATGCCACACTTGTAATCAACTCTAGACCTTTTATCTGCTTCCTTGTAAATTAACTGATGAGGGAATAACACACACCTGGTCATGGAACAGCTGAGCAGCCAAACACACACTGGTCATGGAACAGCTGAGCAGCCAAACACACACCTGGTCATGGAACAGCTGAGCAGCCAAACACACACCTGGTCATGGAACAGCTGAGCAGCCAAACACACACCTGGTCATGGAACAGCTGAGCAGCCAAACACACACCTGGTCATGGAACAGCTGAGCAGCCAAACACACACCTGGTCATGGAACAGCTGAGCAGCCAAACACACACCTGGTTGTGGAACAGCTGAGCAGCCAAACACACACCTGGCCATGGAACAGCTGAGCAGCCAAACACACACCTGGTCATGGAACAGCTGAGCAGCCAAACACACACCTGGTCATGGAACAGCTGAGCAGCCAAACACACACCTGGTTGTAGAACAGCTGAGCAGCCAAACACACACCTGGCCATGGAACAGCTGAGCAGCCAAACACACACCTGGTCATGGAACAGCTGAGCAGCCAAACACACACCTGGTCATGGAACAGCTGAGCAGCCAAACACACACCTGGCCATGGAACAGTTGAGCAGCCAAACACACACCTGGCCATGGAACAGCTGAGCAGCCAAACACACACCTGGTCATGGAACAGCTGAGCAGCCAAAACACACACCTGGTCATGGAACAGCTGAGCAGCCAAACACACACCTGGCCATGGAACAGCTGAGCAGCCAAACACACACCTGGTCATGGAACACAACACACACCTGGTCATGGAACAGCTGAGCAGCCAAACACACACCTGGTCATGGAACAGCTGAGCAGCCAAACACACACCTGGTCATGGAACAGCTGAGCAGCCAAACACACACCTGGTCATGGAACAGCTGAGCAGCCAAACACACACCTGGCCATGGAACAGCTGAGCAGCCAAACACACACCTGGCCATGGAACAGTTGAGCAGCCAAACACACACCTGGCCATGGAACAGCTGAGCAGCCAAACACACACCTGGTCATGGAACAGCTGAGCAGCCAAACACACACCTGGTCATGGAACAGCTGAGCAGCCAAACACACACCTGGCCATGGAACAGCTGAGCAGCCAAACACACACCTGGTCATGGAACACAACACACACCTGGTCATGGAACAGCTGAGCAGCCAAACACACACCTGGTCATGGAACAGCTGAGCAGCCAAACACACACCTGGTCATGGAACAGCTGAGCAGCCAAACACACACCTGGTCATGGAACAGCTGAGCAGCCAAACACACACCTGGTCATGGAACAGCTGAGCAGCCAAACACACACCTGGTCATGGAACAGCTGAGCAGCCAAACACACACCTGGTCATGGAACAGCTGAGCAGCCAATTGTCCAATTGCTTTTGGTCCCTTAAAAAGGGGGGGACCATATATAAAAAGTGCTGTAATTCTAACACCGTTCACCCCATTTGGATGTAAATACCCTCAAATTAAAGCTGAAATTCTGCACTCTCAGCTCATATTCATTATTTAATTTCAACTACAATATGCTGTGGTGGACAGCTATAATAATAATAATATTATTTATGGACCTGACTGGAGCTCAGTATTTGTATTATTGATTTTATACAGTCTATTTTGCTCATCTTTATCAAGGGTGCCAATAATTATGGTGCTGACTTTATATACACTTGTTGTGGTTATGCGTTGGCTAATAACAGTATTGTTTTACCTTGAGGTTGAGGGCGCGGCTCTCTATCTCGGAGGTACACTTCCTGATGATGAAGGGGATCCCGTCTGAGCTGTTCTTAGCTGCCTGGGAAAAGTCTATCCCAAACAGATGTAGTCTTCCCTGCAGTTTCTTATGACCACACTGGATAGCCAGGGTCTCCAGACACTTCTTATGACACGCCAGGGAGCACTGAGACAGGAGACAGAGAGAGAGAGAAAGGAAATGTGACATCTGGTCAGAAACACACTTAGATCGGAGGATAGATCTTAGATTGGAGGTACGTGTGTCTGAAGTTAGATGTTGTTCTGACAGACCGACCAACCTGCACATGTCCTCTATATTGTTATTGTTTAATGGTTATTTTGACCCTTGGTTATTGTTGTTTACTGTTGCCCGGGGTACAATATTGATTATTATTATTTTAATTATTTTAATAGTGTAAATATCCAAAGTAAGCTTTGGCAATATGTACATTGTTACGTGATGCCAATAAAGCAAATTGAATTGAAATAGACAGACAGACAGACAGAGAGACAGACAGGAGAGACGAGGAGAGAAGAGAGAGAGAGAGGTGACAGGAGAGCGAGTGAGGAGAGGTAGAGAGAGGAGAGATGTGGCCACTAAACAGCGAGAGTACACAGTGGCCAGAATTACCTGACCAACTGTGCCTGCACTCCACAAAATTAAGGAATCTTTGACATGTACAGACTCAGTGAGAATCAGCCTTGCTATTTGAGAAAGGCCGCCGTAGGCTAGACCTGGGCTCTCAAGAGAAGACAGGCTATGTGCTTGTGTGTATGTGTGTTTGAGCTTGTGTGTGTGTGTGTGTGTGTGTTTGAGCTTGTGTGTGTGTGTTTGAGCTTGGGTGTGTGCTGTGGGTGCGCTTGGTGTGTGTGTGTGTGTGTGTGGTGTGGGGGTTGTAGCGTAGTGTGTGTGTGTGTGTGGTGGTGTGTGTGTGTTTGAGATTGGGTGGTGTTGTGTGGTGTTGAGTTGGGTGTGTTGTGTGTGTGTTTGAGTTGTGGTGTGTGTGGTGTGGTGTGTGTTTGATTTGTGTGTGTGTGTGTTTGAGTTGGGTGTGTGTGTGTGTGTGTGTGGTGTTTGTGTGTGTTGTGTGTGTGTGTGTTGTGTGTGTGTTGTGGTGTGTGTGTGGTGTGTGTGAGCTGTGTTGTGTGTGTGTGGTGTTGTGTGTGTGGTGTGTGTGTGTGTGTGTGTGTGTGGTGTGTGTGTGTGTGTGTGTGTGTGTGTGTGGTTTTGTGTGTGTGTGTGTGTGGTGTGTTGTGTGTGTGTGTGTGTGTGTGTGGTGTGTGGTGTGTGTGTGTGTGGTGTGGTGTGAGTTGGTGTTGTGTGTGGGTGTGTGTGTGTGTGTGTGTGTGTGGTGTGTGAGTTGTGTGTGGTGTGTGTGTGTTGTGTGTGTGTGTGTGTGTGTGTTGTGTGGGTGTGTGTGTGTGTGTGTTGTGTGTGTGTGTGGTGTGTGTGTGTGTGAGCTTGTGTGTGTGTGGTTGTGGTGTGTGTGTGTGTTGTGTGTGTGGTTGTGTGTGTGTGTGTGTGAGCTTGTGTGTTGTGTGTGTGTGTGTGTGTTGTGTGTGTGTGGGTGTGTGTGTGTGTGTGTGTTGTGGTGTGTGTGTGTGTGTGTGTGGTGTGTGTGGTGTGTGTTTCTACCTCTTGACATTCTGCTCCGTGGAACACCACCAGACTGTCACACTCCCTGCACTTAGACGGAGCTCGGAGTTTCCTCAGCTTGTGTGTCTGAGACGCCTTGGACATCTGGGCGTTACGAAACGGACCTGGGGAACTGGCTGTCTCTGTCACCATCTCACCCAGACCTGGGAGGGGAGGGGAGGGGGAGGAGGGAGGGAGAGGCAGGGGGAAGGAGAGCGAGGAGAGAGAGAGAGAGTGAGGGGGAGGAGTGGGAGGGAGAGCGGGAGGGAGACAGAGCGAGAGTGTAATGTTTACTGTTAATATTTATTGTTTATTTCACTTTTGTTTACTATCTACTTCACTTGCTTTGGCAATGTTAACATACGTTTCTCATGCCAATAAAGCCCTTAAATTGGAATTGAATTGAGAGAGAGAGAGAGAGAGAGAGAGAGAGAGAGAGAGAGAGAGAGAGAGAGAGAGAGAGAGAGAGACTCCACATTACTTTCCCTAATCTTCACCAAACATGACTGAATGCTCCTTGAAGTTATAGCAAAGTACTGGAACAGCCTTATTGGACTTTAACTGAATAATCAAACACTTAATAATAATACTTCATTCTTGTGTCATAAACAATTCATTTATGACTGGGATACACATTCAGAATAACTGGTTGCATGCGTTACAGGAGTATTACAACAACCTCTATTGGTCTAATCATATTCATTCATTATCTTTATCGTTTAATAGCCACATTAATAATAAACCACAGAGGATTAGTGGTATTGAGTTGGTTTTAACAGCGCAGAGCCCTTGATGCCTCTAACAACAAAGAGTTGATCAAAATAACACATTCTCCTGCAGGGTGAGTTCAGGCTAAAAGACAGGAACTAGTTAGTTTGGCCGCAAGCCAAAACCAAACACACCCCATCCCTACAGCTGTGCACAGAGTAAAAAAACATTTGGTGTGAGGGTTGAAGCTCACCGGCCCTCACACACACACCAGAAAAGACCCGAACAACTTCAGACCTTGGCTGCATTAACGACAGCTCTTTAGACAGACAGACAGCTCTTTAGGCAGGCAAGCAGGCAGGCAGGCAGGCAGGCAGGCAGGCAGGCAGGCAGGCAGGCAGGCAGGCAGGCAGGCAGGCAGGCAGGCAGGCAGGCAGGCAGGCAGGCAGGCAGGCAGGCAGGCAGGCAGGCAGGCAGGCAGGCAGGCAGGCAGACTCTCTCTCTTACCGTTGTCTGAGGGTGAAGGTGGCTGTCTCTCATCCAGGTCGTCTGCTGAGGACATAGTGCCAGTGGAGGGGGTTCTGGGTAGTCTGCGTTTAAAGTCACCTGAAAACAGGAAGTAAAACTCTTCCTCAAAATATCACATGTGGAACTCTATAGTGCAAACCACTCATTAACAGACCACTGAAAACAGTGATATTCATATACAGTACCAGTCAAACGTCGTTTGGACACACCTACTCATTCCAAGGTTTTTCTTTATTTTTACTATTTTCTACATTGTAGAATAATAGTGAAGACATCAAAACTATGAAATAACACATAGTTTTGATGTCTTCACTATTATTCTACAATGTAGAAAATAGTAAAAATAAAGAAAAACCCTTGAATGAGTAGGTGTGTCCAAACTTTTGACTGGTACTGTATTACTGTATTTTGGTACCGGAACTCAGCCCTACCTATAACTAGGGCCTGGAGTTTTTCCTAGTGAGGTCACATGGCCATTAGAAACTCTTGGGCACTACTGATAAGGCCAGTGCTGGGCGGTGTCATGTTGTGTTGGTTCATGTTCCCTTACCTGGTGTTGTGTTGTGTTGTGTTGGGTCATGTTCCCTTACCTGGTGTTGTGTTGTGTTGTGTTGGTTCATGTTCCCTTACCTACAGTTGTGTTGTGTTGTGTTGGTTCATGTTCCCTTACCTGGTGTTGTGTTGTGTTGTGTCATGTTCCCTTACCTGGTGTTGTGTTGTGTTGGGTCATGTTCCCTTACCTGGTGTTGTGTTGTGTTGTGTTGGTTCATGTTCCCTTACCTACAGTTGTGTTGTGTTGTGTTGGTTCATGTTCCCTTACCTGGTGTTGTGTTGTGTTGTGTTGGGTCATGTTCCCTTACCTGGTGTTGTGTTGTGTTGGTTCATGTTCCCTTACCTGGTGTTGTGTTGTGTTGGGTCATGTTCCCTTACCTGGTGTTGTGTTGTGTTGGGTCATGTTCCCTTACCTGGTGTTGTGTTGTGTTGGGTCATGTTCCCTTACCTGGTGTTGTGTTGTGTTGGTTCATGTTCCCTTACCTGGTGTTGTGTTGTGTTGGTTCATGGTTCCCTTACCTGGTGTTGTGTTGTGTTGGTTCATGTTCCCTTACCTGGTGTTGTGTTGTGTTGGTTCATGTTCCCTTACCTGGTGTTGTGTTGTGTTGGTTCATGTTCCCTTACCTGGTGTTGTGTTGTGTTGGTTCATGTTCCCTTACCTGGTGTTGTGTTGTGTTGGTTCATGTTCCCTTACCTGGTGTTGTGTTTGTGTTGGTTCATGTTCCCTTACCTGGTGTTGTGTTGTGTTGGTTCATGTTCCCTTACCTGGTGTTGTGTTGTGTTGGTTCATGTTCCCTTACCTGGTGTTGTGTTGTGTTGGTTCATGTTCCCTTACCTACAGTTGTGTTGTGTTGGGTCATGTTCCCTTACCTGGGCTGGCTGTTGGGGAGTCCATGGATTGGGACTCACTGCTGCCTCCAGCACTCTCTGAGTCACTACACATCCCTCTGTCCTGACTACATGATGCCCAGGCTCTCAACGGGCCCTGGCCCCCTCTCAGACCTGGAGGAGAGAGAACAGAGACGAGAGGGGAGAGAAGAGAGAAGAGAGAGGAGAGAAGAGAGGAGAGGGAGGAGAGACGAGAGGAGAGGGAGAGAAGAGAGAGGACAGGGAGAGAAGAGAGAGGACAGGGAGAGAAGAGAGAGGACAGGGAGAGAAGAGAGAGGACGGGGAGAGAAGAGAGAGGAGAGGGAGAGAAGAGAGAGGAGAGGGAGAGAAGAGAGAGGAGAGAGGAGAGAAGAGAGGGGAGGAAAGAGAGAAGAGAGAGGAGAGGGGAGGAAAGAGAGGACAGGGAGAGAAGAGAGAGGAGAGGGAGAGAAGAGAGAGGAGAGGGGAGGAAAGAGAGGACAGGGAGAGAAGAGAGAGAACAGTGACGAGAGAGGAGAGGGGAGGAATAGAGAAGAGAGAGGAGAGGGGAGGAAAGAGAGAAGAGAGAGGAGAGGGAGGGAAAGAGAGAGATAGGTATTAGCAATATGGTAATAGGCTAACAGATTCTCTAAGATAAAAATATATTGTGTCAGGGTTCTCCCCAAAGAATGTAAGAGAGGCGCTGCGCCACTTAAAAAACAACTTTATTTGTTATCATATAAGGAAATGTTTGTCACATGGTTGGTAAACAACAGGTGTAGACTAACAGTAAAATGCTTCCTAACATCGACTTGATATGGGCCAACTGGCTGACTACAGTATACCAACTGGCTGACTACAGTATACCAACTGGCTGACTACAGTATACCAACTGGCTGACTACAGTATACCAACTGGCTGACTACAGTATGGCTGGCTACAGTATACCAACTGGCTGACTACAGTATACCAACTGGCTGACTACAGTATACCAACTGGCTGACTACAGTATACCAACTGGCTGACTACAGTATACCAACTGGCTGACTACCATAAAAAGCCTTTATTGGGACAAACTGGTGTTGGTAAACATGATTAAAGTAGCCTTGCTCCTCCAGATCTTTAGCACCAGATCCGTTCAGTCAACTTCATGCCATCCCATGTTTGGATCCTCTATAGACAATATGGACGTTATCTGACCCTGCTGATCATCTATGAATGATGGAACATCTTTACAAATGATCTGGTCTTAAAGTCCAGATGTACTTTTAAATCTCCCCCCGGTAGGGGACTGGCCAGCCCTCGGAGCCTAGTTCCTCTCTAGGTTTCTTCCCAGGTTCCTGCCTTCTAGGGAGTTTTTCCTAGCCACTGTGATTCTGCCTCTGCATTGCTGGCTCTTTGGGGTTTTAGGCTGGGTAACTGTAAAGCAGTTCTGAAAACTGCTGATGTAAAAAGGGCTTTATAAAATGTATTAGCATGCTAATACACACAGAGAGGTTAGCTAAGTCCAGACCTGTGTCAAAGTACTTTTTGTTTTCATTGAATTGAATACAGTATTCCACACAATATTAAACCAAAATAGCTATTGCATGAAGATTGGTTTATCTCTTTCCAAGGGTGCAGTTATTTTACATGTGTTGGGTAGCAGTATTGTACCTTGTATGGTGTTGGGTAGCAGTACTGTACCTTGTATGGTGTTGGGTAGCAGTACTGTACCTTGTATGGTGTTGGGTAGCAGTACTGTACCTTGTATGGTGTTGGGTAGCAGTACTGTACCTTGTATGGTGTTGGGTAGCAGTACTGTACCTTGTATGGTGTTGGGTAGCAGTACTGTACCTTGTATGGTGTTGGGTAGCAGTATTGTACCTTGTATGGTGTTGGGTAGAAGTATTGTACCTTGTATGGTGTTGGGTAGCAGTACTGTACCTTGTATGGTGTTGGGTAGCAGTACTGTACCTTGTATGGTGTTGGGTAGCAGTACTGTACCTTGTATGGTGTTGGGTAGCAGTACTGTACCTTGTATGGTGTTGGGTAGAAGTATTGTACCTTGTATGGTGTTGGGTAGCAGTACTGTACCTTGTATGGTGTTGGGTAGCAGTATTGTACCTTGTATGGTGTTGGGTAGAAGTATTGTACCTTGTATGGTGTTGGGTAGCAGTACTGTACCTTGTATGGTGTTGGGTAGCAGTATTGTACCTTGTATGGTGTTGGGTAGTAGTACTGTACCTTGTATGGTGTTGGGTAGCAGTATTGTACCTTGTATGGTGTTGGGTAGCAGTACTGTACCTTGTATGGTGTTGGGTAGCAGTATTGTACCTTGTATGGTGTTGGGTAGCAGTACTGTACCTTGTATGGTGTTGGGTAGCAGTATTGTACCTTATATGGTGTTGGGTAGCAGTATTGTACCTTGTATGGTGTTGGGTAGCAGTATTGTACCTTATATGGTGTTGGGTAGCAGTATTGTACCTTATATGGTGTTGGGTAGCAGTACTGTACCTTGTATGGTGTTGGGTAGCAGTACTGTACCTTATATGGTGTTGGGTAGCAGTACTGTACCTTGTATGGTGTTGGGTAGCAGTATTGTACCTTGTATGGTGTTGGGTAGCAGTACTGTTTGCTACTACTGTATGACTGGACCTTTTATGTCTGACTGTGTCTCTGTACCTTGTATGTCTGTGGCACTGTTGGACCTCTTCCCAGGTCGTGACCCCAGAGGACTATCCACCTCGTCCCCACTCAGGACGTCACCGGAGATGAGGGACACCTGGGACAGGTTACTATGGGAACTGGTGCTGCCCATTGAAAGCTTGTTGAACACAGGAAACCTGGGATGGGAAGACAGACAGACTCAGTCAATATAGTTGAATATTAACTCGAGGGGCAAGTTTAACCCCCTAAGGTCGATGTCCGCGCCCCCACAAAAATCGAATTAGCATAATAAAACAATCCCCATAAACATGAGTCAGTTTAAGCTAAAGATATCAGTTTTTTTGCATTGGATGCGTCTCAATCCACCACATCCGCCGACGTTGCACCTCCGCATCTGGGGTGAAAGGTGGCAGAGCCAGAGAGGTGTTTGTCAGACCATGAGACATCCCGAAAATCTGTCTTCTCAAAGAAATCGTCTGTAGCGTCCAAACAGTTTGACCCCTCGGTGGAAAGGTGAGACTCTTTTTGCCCTAGGACGCCCACAGGCCTCACAGCAGCAACAACAACAGGATGGCTTTATACAGAGCACTCGTAAAGTATTCGGACCGCATGACTTTTTCCACATTTTGTTACGTTACAGCCTTATTCTAAAATTGATGAAATAAATGTTTTCCCTCATCAATACCCCATAATGACAGCGAAAACAGGTTTTTAGAAATGTTTTGCAAATATATTAAAAATACATTCAGACTGTAAATTACACGCGCATTCAGTCTTTATATTACTGTAGCATAGGCTATGCTGCAGCAAATGTAGGCCTACCTGTCACAAGAAGAAAGTTACCATGATCATTTGATACATGCATTATGAACAGCGCTCCATACTGAGATCCCCATCCTGAGTGTTGAGAAGACAGATTTGGACAGAGCATATCATTTAACAGCTCCATTTCACATCATGCAGTTCATAGAAATCATTTAAATCGGTTTCTCGCAGTTGCTTATCCCGGGAAAAGGGAGTGGGTGGGAAATCTCGGTAACCCGGTTCCCCCTTTTCAACCCTAATTCCCTGGTGTATATGTTGGAAGCAACAACAAGATGAGGACCTCCCTGGTGTATATGTTGGCAACAACAACAAGATGAGGACTTCCCTGGTGTATATGTTGGCAGCAGCAACAAGATGAGGACCTCCCTGGTGTATATGTTGGCAGCCACAACAAGATGAGGACCTCCCTGGTATATATGTTGGCAGCAACAACAACAAGATGAGGACTTCCCTGGTGTATATGTTGGCAACAACAACAAGATGAGGACCTCCCTGGTGTATATGTTGGCAACAACAACAACAAGATGAGGACCTCCCTGGTGTATATGTTGGCAACAACAACAACAAGATGAGGACCTCCCTGGTGTATATGTTGGCAACAACAAGATGAGGACTTCCCTGGTGTTTATGTTGGCAGCAGCAACAAGATGAGGACCTCCCTGGTGTATATGTTGGCAACAACAAGATGAGGACCTCCCTGGTGTATATGTTGGCAGCAGCAACAAGATGAGGACTTCCCTGGTGTATATGTTGGCAGCAACAACAAGATGAGGACCTCCCTGGTGTATATGCTGGCAGCAACAAGATGAGGACTTCCCTGGTGTATATGCTGGCAGCAACAAGATGAGGACTTCCCTGGTGTTTATGTTGGCAGCAGCAACAAGATGAGGACCTCCCTGGTGTATATGCTGGCAGCAACAAGATGAGGACTTCCCTGGTGTATATGTTGGCAGCAACAAGATGAGGACTTCCCTGGTGTTTATGTTGGCAGCAGCAACAAGATGAGGACCTCCCTGGTGTATATGTTGGCAGCAACAACAACAAGATGAGGACTTCCCTGGTGTATATGTTGGCAGCAACAACAAGATGAGGACTTCCCTGGTGTATATGTTGGCAGAAACAACAAGATGAGGACCTCCCTGGTGTATATGTTGGCAGCAACAACAAGATGAGGACCTCCCTGGTGTATATGTTGGCAACAACAACAAGATGAGGACTTCCCTGGTGTATATGTTGGCAACAACAACAACAAGATGAGGACCTCCCTGGTGTATATGTTGGCAACAACAACAACAAGATGAGGACTTCCCTGGTGTATATGTTGGCAAGAACAACAACAAGATGAGGACCTCCCTGGTGTATATGTTGGCAACAACAACAACAAGATGAGGACCTCCCTGGTGTATATGTTGGCAGCAACAACAAGATGAGGACTTCCCTGGTGTTTATGTTGGCAGCAACAAGATGAGGACCTCCCTGGTGTATATGTTGGCAGCAACAACAAGATGAGGACTTCCCTGGTGTATATGTTGGCAACAACAACAAGATGAGGACTTCCCTGGTGTATATGTTGGCAACAACAACAAGATGAGGACTTCCCTGGTGTATATGTTGGCAACAACAACAACAAGATGAGGACCTCCCTGGTGTATATGTTGGCAACAACAACAAGATGAGGACCTCCCTGGTGTATATGTTGGCAACAACAACAAGATGAGGACTTCCCTGGTGTATATGTTGGCAACAACAACAACAAGATGAGGACCTCCCTGGTGTATATGTTGGCAACAACAACAACAAGATGAGGACTTCCCTGGTGTATATGTTGGCAACAACAACAACAAGATGAGGACCTCCCTGGTGTATATGTTGGCAACAACAACAACAAGATGAGGACCTCCCTGGTGTATATGTTGGCAACAACAACAACAAGATGAGGACTTCCCTGGTGTATATTTATGTTGGCAGCAACAACAAGATGAGGACTTCCCTGGTGTATATGTTGGCAGCAACAACAAGATGAGGACTTCCCTGGTGTATATGTTGGCAACAACAACAACAAGATGAGGACTTCCCTGGTGTATATGTTGGCAGCAACAACAAGATGAGGACTTCCCTGGTGTATATGCTGGCAGCAACAAGATGAGGACTTCCCTGGTGTTTATGTTGGCAGCAGCAACAAGATGAGGACTTCCCTGGTGTTTATGTTGGCAGCAGCAACAAGATGAGGACCTCCCTGGTGTATATGTTGGCAGCAACAAGATGAGGACTTCCCTGGTGTATATGTTGGCAGCATCAACAACAAGATGAGGACCTCCCTGGTGTATATGTTGGCAACAACAACAACAAGATGAGGACCTCCCTGGTGTATATGTTGGCAACAACAACAACAAGATGAGGACTTCCTTGGCGTATACTCGCTCTCTCTCTCGCTACTCTCTCTCTCCCTTACTCTCTCTATCTCTCTGCCTCCCCCCTCACTCTCCACCTTTCGTCTCGCACGCACGAGCGAGAGATCTATATCTCCCCAACTTTCTCCCTACGTCCACTACTGCTCTCGCCTCCACTCCCTCTCTCTTACTTTCTCTTCTCTCCTCTCTCCCCCTTCTCTCTCTCTCCCTTCTTCTCTACTCTTCTCTCTCTCTTACTCTCCTCTCTCTCCCTCCTACTCTCTCCTCCCTTACTCTATCTCCCTCTCCCTCTCTCTCCTCTCTCTCTCGCTCTCATATTGTTACTCTCTGTGAGAAGTCAGTCCTACTGTACACTGACAGTTACAGAACATGGAAGTCATTGGAGTTTATAAGGGAAAGCCCCAGTCCACTGTCAAACTGAAACCGTGTTCATTTCTCTCTGATTCTGTTTCTGTCTCTAGCAAAAAACAAAAGTGAAACTATAATGAAACACCCGTATAAACATCAGGACTTGATGAAAACAAAACAATGACTGAAAACTCAGCGTAGACCTTTGGCTGTTGTTCTAAAATGGTTGCCAAATTACCCTACGCTTGTATTATTCACTGTCGGTGGATTGCCACCTTGCCGTAGAGGAGCCTAATGTCCCAAATGACACCCTATTCTCTATTTAGTGCACTGCTTTTGACCAAAGCTCTATGGGCTCTTTCGGGACTATAGGGACATTTGAGACGCAGCCTAAGTACGTAAGTGAGTACAAATTGACTGACCGTTCATCGGTGGAGAAGGACTCCGTGCGTATCCGATCTTTGGGCAGGTTACGGACGAACTCAGCGTATCTCTGTCCTGGCTCGTACATCTTAGCGCTCTCACACAGGGCCTGGTAGTGGACGGGGAGAGAAACGGTCTGGGCCTGCTGCAGCTGGAACCAGTTCACTGTCACCTGGAGAAAGAAAGAAAGAAAGACCACATTCAGTCACATACACTCTGGAGCTATGCTCATGTCATGCCTGCTTCCTGATACTCTGTGGACTAGAACTTACAGCTTTGAGTGTGAGGTCACACTGAGCCACCAGTTCTCTGATCTGAGTGAGGATGTCTGTCTTGGTGTTGGCCAGCTCTGTCCTCCTGGCTCCTGCATCAGCTACACACGCTCTGTACTGGTCCTGCGCTTCCTCAGCCTGAGATAGAGAGAGAGAGAGAGGAGGAGAGGGAGAGAGGGGGAGAGGGAGGAGAGGAGGAGAGGAGGAGAGGGGGAGAGGGGAGGAGTAGGATAGGGAGAGGAGGAGAGGAGGAGAGGAGGACAGGGGGAGAGGAGGAGAGGGGGAGAGGAGGATAGGGAGAGAGGAGGAGAGGAGGAGAGGAGGAGAGGAGGAGAGGGAGAGAGGGAGAGTGGAGGAGAGGGGGAGAGGAGGAGAGGGGGAGAGGAGGAGAGGAGGAGAGGGAGAGGAGGACAGGAGAGGAGGAGAGGAGGAGAGGAACAACATGCTCTGTACGGGTGCAGGCCATGGAAAAACTGGGACATTTCAGCTTCCAGGAATTGTGTACAGATCCTTCCGACATGGGGCCGTGCATTATCATGCTGAAACATGAGGTGATTGGGTCTGAGTTTGGACCCATCACACCTTTTTTGCTCATCTGAATTTACAGGTTTTACGCACCAACCACACTACTGGGAGAGCGCAATGGTCCCCTTTTGATTAGCTACATCCGAGGGCAGAAATACATTAGCTACCTGTAGATCTGACAGATTTGGATTGGTGTGAGCAATACGTCTGAAATTCCACCTAGCCTATCAAAGAGCATGGTGGAGTTACTACCATGTTGCTTCTACCTATTAAATTATTTCACAACTACACAAGAACCTTGGGGGCCTTCTAGCAGCTGGGCGGCAGGTAGCTTAGTGGTTAAGAGCGTTGTGCCATTAACCGGAAGGTCGCTGGTTCTAATCCCCGAGCCAGCGACCAGGTGAAAAATCTGTCGAAGTGCCCTTGAGCAAGGCACTTAACCCTAATTGCTCCTGTAAGTCGCGCTGGATAAGAGCGTCTGCTAAATGACAAAAATGTAAGCTAGTTATACATCAGCGGTAGAGAGTTCTGTAACACATCAGCATGAACCTAGGTCAGAGGCCCTAAGACCCTTCTAATCATTCTACCTTGAGCAAAAATTTTAAACGCAACTATTTGAAAGCTTTTACAGTTCATATAAGGAAATCAGTCAATTGAAATAAATTCATTAGGCCCTAAACTATGGATTTCACATGACTGGGAATACAGATCTGCATCTGTTGGTCACAGATACCTTAAAAAAAAAAAGAAGGTAGGGGAGTGGATCAGAAACCCAGTCAGTATCTGGTGTGGCCACCATTTGCCTCATGCAGAGTGACACATCTCCTTCGCATTGAGTTGATCAGGCTGTTGATTGTGGCCCTGTGGAATGTTGTCCCACTCCTCTTCAATGGCTGTGTGAAGTTGCTGGATATTGGCGGGAACTGGAACACGCTGTCGTACACGTCAATCCAGAGCATCCCAAACATGCTCAATTGGTGACACGTCTGGTGAGTGTGCAGGCCATGGAAAAACTGGGACATTTCAGCTTCCAGGAATTGTGTACAGATCCTTCCGACATGGGGCCGTGCATTATCATGCTGAAACATGAGGTGATGGCAGCGGATGAATGGTACAACAATGGGCCTCAGGATCTCATCACTGTATCTCTGTGCATTCCAATTGCCATTGATAAAATGCAATTGTGTTCGTTGTCCGTAGCTTATACCTGCCCATACCATAACCCCACCGCCACCATGGGGCACTCTGTTCACAACGTTGACATCAGCAAACCGCTCGCCCACACGACGCCATACACTCTGTCTGCCACCTGCCCGGTACAGGTGAAACCGGGATTCATCCGTAAAGAGCACACTTCTCCAGCCTGCCAGTTGCTATTGAAGGTGAGCATTTGAAGTCGGTTACGACGCGGAAGTGCAGTCAGGTCATGACCCTGGTGAGGACAAGGAGCACGCAGATGAGCTTCCCTGAGACGGTTTCTGACAGTTAGTGCAGAAATACTTCGGTTGTGCAAACCCACAGATCCACCAGCTGTCCGGGTGGATCGTCTCAGACAATCCCGCAGGTGAAGAAGCCGGATGTGGAGGTCCTGAGCTAATGTGATTATACGTGGTCTGCGGTTGTGAGGCCAGTTGGACGCACTGTCAAATTCTCTAAAATGACGTTGGAGGTGGCTTATGGTAGAGAAATTAACATCAAATTCTCTGGCAACAGCGCTGGTGGACATTCCTGCAGTCAGCATGCCAATTGCACGCTCCCTCAAAACTTGAGACATCTGTGGCATTGGGCTGTGTTACAAAACTGCAGATTTTAGAGTGGCCTTTTATTGTCCCCAGCACAAGGTGCACCTGTGTAATGATCATGCTGTTTAATCAGCTTCTTGATATGCCACATCTGTCAGGTGGATGGATTATCTTGACAAAGGACAAATGCTCACTAACAAGGGATGTAAACAAATGTATGCGCAAAATTTGAGAGAAATTTTTCTGGGATCTTTTATTTAATCTCATGAAACATCAGTATATTTGTATGATCACGCCTCATACCTTCTGTAGAGCCTCCTCCTCCAGTTTCCGCTTCTTGTCCAGCTGTTTGGACTGTTCCTCCTGGGAGCGGCTGGCCGAGGAGTGGGCCTTCTGGTACTCGTCTCTCCTCTGCTCCTGGGTCCACCGGGCCTTACGCAGCGCCACCTCAGACTCTTGCTAAGGAGGAGAAGGGAGGAGGCAGTCAGGTGAGAGTACCACACACTCTGTGTTATAGGAAGGAGACAGTCAGGTGAGAGTATCACACACTCTGTGTTATAGAGAGGAGACAGTCAGGTGAGAGTATCACACACTCTGTGTTATAGAGAGGAGACAGTCAGGTGAGAGTTTCACACACTCTGTGTTATAGAGAGGAGACAGTCAGGTGAGAGTATCACACACTCTGTGTTATAGAGAGGAGACAGTCAGGTGAGAGTATCACACACTCTGTGTTATAGAGAGGAGACAGTCAGGTGAGAGTATCACACACTCTGTGTTATAGGAAGGAGACAGTCAGGTGAGAGTATCACACACTCTGTGTTATAGGAAGGAGACAGTCAGGTGAGAGTATCACACACTCTGTGTTATAGAGAGGAGACAGTCAGGTGAGAGTATCACACACTCTGTGTTATAGAGAGGAGACAGTCAGGTGAGAGTATCAACACTCTGTGTTATAGAGAGGAGACAGTCAGGTGAGAGTATCACACACTCTGTGTTATAGAGAGGAGACAGTCAGGTGAGAGTATCACACACTCTGTGTTATAGAGAGGAGACAGTCAGGTGAGAGTATCACACTCTGTGTTATAGGAAGGAGACAGTCAGGTGAGAGTATCACACACTCTGTGTTATAGGAAGGAGACAGTCAGGTGAGAGTATCACACACTCTGTGTTATAGAGAGGAGACAGTCAGGTGAGAGTATCACACACTCTGTGTTATAGAGAGGAGACAGTCAGGTGAGAGTATCACACACTCTGTGTTATAGGAAGGAGACAGTCAGGTGAGAGTATCACACTCTGTGTTATAGGAAGGAGACAGTCAGGTGAGAGTATCACACTCTGTGTTATAGAGAGGAGACAGTCAGGTGAGAGTATCACACACTCTGTGTTATAGAGAGGAGACAGTCAGGTGAGAGTATCACACTCTGTGTTATAGAGAGGAGACAGTCAGGTGAGAGTATCACACACTCTGTGTTATAGGAAGGAGACAGTCAGGTGAGAGTATCACACTCTGTGTTATAGAGAGGAGACGTCAGGTGAGAGTATCACACTCTGTGTTATAGAGAGGAGACGTCAGTGAGAGTATCACACTCTGTGTTATAGAGAGGAGACAGTCAGGTGAGAGTATCACACTCTGTGTTATAGAGAGGAGACAGTCAGGTGAGAGTATCACACACTCTGTGTTATAGAGAGGAGACAGTCAGGTGAGAGTATCACACACTCTGTGTTATAGAGAGGAGACAGTCAGGTGAGAGTTTCACACTCTGTGTTATAGAGAGGAGACAGGTTCACACACAGAGAATGGAACAGAAGGCTCACACACCATTTTCTTCTGCCCTCTCTGCCACTGCTCCTTGATGTCTTTCCTCAGTTTGTCCAGCTCAGTCTTTCTGGCCAACAACGGCTACAGGACGCAGAAAGAGACACCAGCCATAGTATATAGTGTACGTTCCATTACCCCACATCCAATTTCCCACAAATTACTTTGAACCCAAATGATATAAATTGTTGCCTTGTCAGAGATAAGATCATTCGCTACATTATTGTGAGTCTTGATGTTTTTTTGCTGGAGTAAAAAGTTGCTCTGACACCTATAAAAGAGAACACTGTCATTCCTACCTGTATGAATTTGTTGGTCTGCAGGGCGGTGGCAGTCTGCAGTAGGAGTTGGCTGTACTCGATGTCATTCTTAAACGTCGAAATATAGATATCTCTGAACGGCATGTAGTCCTGTGAGCCAGACGGAACATACACGTGGAAACATATCATCAGTCCCGTTCTCTTTTGATATGTGCACCTTGTAAGGTTTTAATCTGTGTTCAGTTTTAAAGCAGGACATGGGGTGTGTGATCGTGTGACTATTCTTAGTCAGTCAAAACATATTACCTGTTGACTCGCGAGCGTCTTTGCAGATTCTGCCATTTTGGCATAACTTTTGGCACATTCAATGTCTGGGGGAAGACATAGCAGATGAGTCAGTGTGAATGCGTCTGCTAAATGATGTAAATGTAAATGAATGTGTGATTTGATTGTTGGTTGTGGGGATATGTCTGTCTGTCTCTGTCTGCTTGCGTTTGTGCGCGTCTAACTAACCCAGTCCCAGGCGTTTGTCGACCCAGGCCAGCAGATCCTTGGTGTACTTGGACCACGCCTTGGCATAGAGCAGAACTGACTCCACCCCACTGTCGTTCTTCTGCAGCATCACGTCAACCTCCTCCTCTTTAGACAGCGCCACCTCTGGGCCTGGAGAGGTAGTACAGGAGGAAGCTCATAGGATCAGGGTAGGACAGAGAAGGTGTAGGGTGATGTTTCCCCTAGATGCTGATGTTGGGTCAGTTTTTGCATTTTTCCACACTAATGGTCAAGGTTAGGATTGGGGGGAGGGGAAGCTGATCCTAGACCTGTGCCTAGGGGATAGGTCATACTGGAGCTATTGCCTACTATAGTTATTACGCATGACTGTTTTCCCCAGGGGAGGTTTTCCTAACCACATGACCCCAACCAAGAAACTCCTGAGTGGCGCAGTGGTCTAAGGCACTGTATCGCAGTGCTAGCTGTGCCACTAGAGATCCTGGTTCGAATCCAGGCTCTGTCGTAGCCGGCCGCGACCGGGAGACGCATGGTGGCGGCGCACAATTGGCCCAGGGTAGGGGAGGGAATGGCCGGCAGGGATGTAGCTCAGTTGGTAGAGCATGGCGTTTGCAACGCCAAGGTGGTGGGTTCGATTCCCACGGGGGGCCAGTATGGAAAGAAAAATAAATAAAAATAATAATAATAATGTATGCACTCACTAACTGTAAGTCGCTCTGGATAAGAGCGTCTGCTAAATTACTAAAAATGTCAATGTAAACTCTGGACCCATGTAAGGAGTCAGGAAAGGCACCACACATTGTCAGAATAATTCTTCACAGGGTTCTACTTCTCTGTTTCAGCCCCAGAGGCTACATGTCCAGAATAACTAATAAAGTGAACTTCAAGATTAATTAGTTTAATTAGTATGTACGGGATACACATGGTATACACCGTCCAACTAAATGCTGACTGCAGGTTCCTCCTCGACAATGGCAACAACAATAAGAAATAATAAAAGATACGAATAAAGTAAATATGCTCAGTAGAACAGAATAGACATTTTAGTATCAGTATAAATATTTGTCGGTTATAGGATATTTACCCTACTAGTTTGTGTATATTACTGTCTGCAAACAGCTAGTTTGATTTAGCAAGAAAACACTTATGCTAGTTAGCTGGCTAGCTAGTTAATAAATGTACTGAGTCAGAGCAAACGTAGCTATCTAATACAGCCTGATACCAGCGCTGGTGTAGGCCTAGATCAGCATGTTGTTTGTGCAACGGTAGTGATGGGACGATTGATACCGGAGCTCTGACGCACTTTTCAAAGCACTACTGATTCGACACAACGTAGCAACGCTTGCATCAAAGTAACAATACCGCCTGATCATGACGTTTCGAAGCTTCCGACGTCTCACTATGATCTAAACAGGCGTCGGAATTCAGAACTGAGAGCGCCGACCTCAGTTCCCGAAATGTAATTCAAACCCAAAGCAAAGTTGAGAAGCAGCTAGCTACCACATGATAAATGACGTACAAAGCTTTGTTTGATTCCTCAGTCAGTGGATCCCGCTCTGGCTTCCAAAACATCAACCTCTACTGGACACAGGCTTAGTCTAGTCTTCTCCATTTCTCACTTGCAGGTGGCCAGCCTGTGGAGCAGCGGCGAGTGAGTCTCTCGTCTTGTGAAGGCACAGGATCGAATCCTGTTTTTGCTTTGTTTACGTTTTCTTTGAAACACTGGCTACATTGTATTTCTAACCTTAAATAATGAGTTTCGATAAGCATAGGCTGTTATGGTTTTATGTTTAACATTGTAAATCGTGGAGCTACGGTCTTATTTTATGTCTTAACACCCGCCCGCTTAAACCGGAAGCAAATGTGTCGGAGGAAACACTGTTCACCTGGCGACTGAAATCAGCCTGCAGGCGCCCGGCCCGCCACAAGGAGTCACTAGAGCGGGATGAGCCAAGTAAAGTACTTTCTCACTAATTTATGATAAATAATGCAAGCAACTTCAATGGTAAATTTCTCTGAACAGGGGACAAAACATCACCAGATTCACAGGGAATACATATTATGAAGAAGCAATACTAAAGCCACAGCTTCATACTGCTTGTCAGGCATATAGAACTGATACTGTATACTGGTTGTTGGGGTGGGATTGGCATGGGGTGTGGGGGGACCATAGGTGGCTTTTGACCATTTTATTGGATTTCTCATGTCTTACTCAATGACAGGAAGAAGTTTAGTTCAAATCGGATGTTGGATACTATATTTATTTAATATTATGTGAGTCCTAAAAATTAAAAGGGCCAATTTGGATGCAATCAATTAGTTTCATTTCTCAGAGATCAAATAAAATGTCAACCAAATAATGTTGCAGGAATAATAATCGTATGTTTCTAACTACAGAAACAATCTCATAACAATCTGAGACGGTGGGTGTCATGGCTTGCTGAAATGACATGGAATTACTAATTGAGTGACTGTCAGTGACTGACATAACTGCTTAAGTACAAGCAAATTTCAGAATTGCACTTTGTGTATTCTACTATTCTAACTCTCAACAGTAAGTTGAGACCAGGACGGATGTTGGGCAACCGGGGGCGCCATCCCTGGTGCAGATGAAAGACAAAAAGAAGAAGAAGAAGAAGAGAAAGAAAGAAGAGAGAAACAGAGTGTAAAATAAGAGAGAAACAGAGAGAGTGTAAAATAAGAGAGAAACAGAGTGTAAAATAAGAGAGAAACAGAGAGAGTGTAAAATAAGAGAGAAACAGAGAGTGTAAAATAAGAGAAACAGAGAGAGTGTAAAATAAGAGAGAAACAGAGAGTGTAAAATAAGAGAGAAACATAGTGTAAAAGAAGAGAGAAACAGAGAGAGTGTAAAATAAGAGAGAAACAGAGAGAGTGTAAAATAAGAGAGAAACAGAGAGAGTGTAAAATAAGAGAGAAACAGAGAGAGTGTAAAATAAGAGAGAAACAGAGAGAGTGTAAAAGAACAGAAAAACAGAGAGTGTAAAATAAGAGAGAAACAGAGTGTAAAATAAGAGAGAAACAGAGTGTAAAATAAGAGAGAAACAGAGAGAGTGTAAAATAAGAGAGAAACAGAGAGAGTGTAAAATAAGAGAGAAACAGAGAGAGTGTAAAATAACAGAAAAACAGAGAGTGTAAAATAAGAGAGAAACAGAGTGTAAAATAAGAGAGAAACAGAGTGTAAAATAAGAGAGAAACAGAGTGTAAAATAAGAGAGAAACAGAGAGAGTGTAAAATAAGAGAGAAACAGAGAGAGTGTAAAATAAGAGAGAAACAGAGAGAGTGTAAAATAAGAGAGACACAGAGAGAGTGTAAAATAAGAGAGAAACAGAGAGAGTGTAAAATAAGAGAGAAACAGAGAGAGTGTAAAAGAACAGAAAAACAGAGAGTGTAAAATAAGAGAGAAACAGAGTGTAAAATAAGAGAGAAACAGAGTGTAAAATAAGAGAGAAACAGAGAGAGTGTAAAATAAGAGAGAAACAGAGAGAGTGTAAAATAAGAGAGAAACAGAGAGTGTAAAATAAGAGAGAAACAGAGAGAGTGTAAAATAAGAGAGAAACAGAGTGTAAAATAAGAGAGAAACAGAGTGTAAAATAAGAGAGAAACAGAGAGAGTGTAAAATAAGAGAGAAACAGAGAGAGTGTAAAATAAGAGAGAAACAGAGAGAGTGTAAAATAAGAGAGAAACAGAGAGAGTAAAATAAGAGAGAAACGGAGAGGGAGTGGAAAAGAAGAGAAACAAAAGAAAGAGAAAGAGGAAAGAGCAAAAGAAGACACTTACCCACAAGGCCTTTCTTCTCTGGAACATACCCCCCAGAATACGCAGAGAGGTTCTCAAAAGACTAGAAATTAAAACACGAGACACACATTTTATACTCCACCAAAATATTGCACTTTTGCTATTTTATATACTTTACTGATACGGTTCAGTAAACTAAACATTCACTTCAATTCAACACTGTTTAACCTACATTTCAAGCATTCTGAATGCGCCCTTGATGTGTGAGTTCTGATTGGCTTACCCTGCTTCTCCTGGTCTGGGGGATCCCCAACCCTGATTGGCTGTCCACATCTCCCATAAGGAAGTCAGACACTCTGAGGAGGAAGAGGACGAGTCAGCATAAATAAGTGAGGAAGACTATCAAAACGAAGTATTCGAGACTAGAGATTATAACATATCTATGCCATTAAATAACAAATGTCAAGTGTCCAAGACTACAGGGTAAAGACAAGTGTCAAATACTAAAAACGTATTACATATTTATCTACATCATCAACTAACAATGCTCAGTTTGGATTAAGTGAAACGTTAATGTGGTGACATAGTAAACGTTAGCCTTTTCATTGTTTGGACTGTTACAAGAAAAGTAATGCTCTTTTGACTGTTGGTAGGCAGAAACCTTTTAACACAATCCCTGTCAAATCCCCTGGCGCTCTGACAAAGAGGCACTAAAACCCAACAGCGCTGAAAGGTAAACAAATATCGTACTCACACATTTCCAAATGTGAATGCCAAAGTGTCAATGGACGCATATATGTCGCCAAATATAGCGTTTTTGTTTTCTTGGTTCACTTCCTTGAAGTTAACGCCTGTTGGAAAGTGATAAAACCACATGAGAAACCGATCAACCAGAGTCAAATCTCATTCGTCGACAGCCAGCAAACAGTCAACAAAAGCAGTCGACAGCCAGCAAACAGTCAACAAAAGCAGTCGACAGCCAGCAAACAGTCAACAAAAGCAGTCGACAGCCAGCAAACAGTCAACAAAAGCAGTCGACAGCCAGCAAACAGTCAACAAAAGCAGTCATGGAGTCTGGTCATAAAGCTAAAAGAATGGAGCTGTATGTGGTCAACATGCCAACACACACACGACACAGACATTAAAAAAAAGGTAGCATGGTTGTCATATTAGATCAACGCACTATTATGACTTCATTCATTGGGCTGATTGAATTAAATTAACAGTCATTCATGACAATAACAACAGTAAAGTGGGCAGAACTGTCCCTTAAACATACAAATATAGACATACTGTGGATAGAGACTAACAGGAACACAGGCAGGGTTGTCCATTTCTGTGTGGCCCCAAAAAAAAAGGACTTGGAAATCTTCTAGAAGATTAGAAGAGAATGGTTCAAAACATCCAATCTATTATCCTGTGGTAATATTAGGTTTCCAATTCGTATGTACAATCAATCCTCTTCCGCACAGGTCACATACTCACTGGGCCTGTCAACATTACAGCCGTATTTCCGTTCCTGTTAGCATTCCCGAAAATACGTCAAGTTTCGACGAATCTTCGAGAAGACGTTCGACGCACATCTTAGCTTTTTCAGACAGGAAACCGTTCAGTTCAGTAAGCGAGAGGACAGGCAGAGGAAGGCAGAGGAAGGCAGCCCAAGAAAAAGTTAGAGAGAGAAGACAGAAGAGAAATCCAACTTCAACTTCCTGTCTCCCCAACCACAGGAAACGACTCAGGCAGCTTGAACTCTTCGACAACACTGAGAAAACCTTCAGACGACCACCGTAAAACTTACCTCCTGGCTCTACCGTGGCTCCTCAGCCATTTAGTCAGAACCAAGTGTTGCTGACTTAGTTTCCCCGTCCGCCCGTACAGCAGAGCACTTTCTTAACACTTCCACTGTTTCCTGATGCTGCAGGAGGGCTGACTACCCGACCAACCAACACAAAACTAAAACTAAAAGTCAAGTCAATCTCTGTTGATCTTTTGTCATTGATGTTCAGTCCCTCTACAAATCCATTCTTGGCTACTGGTACCTTTTGGAAGAGGGTTTGAGAGGAAGAGGGCAACCCACAGCCCAGGTTAGCCCACGTACCAGGCCAGGGCAGCACCTCAGGAGGCCAATGGGGTGGAAGAGAAGTAAATAGAGGTACTTCCCTGCCGTGCACCTCTTTACCCCTGAATGCTAGAGAGCTGCTGTGCTGTAGAGGCCCCTGTAGAGGCAGGAGAGCTGAGCGTCTTCCTCAGGACATCCTGCAGTCCTACAACAATGATCCCACCGCTGGCTGCTACCAATCACAACCCGCCAAATATGGGAACTGCATCATTCAAGCCCGGGCCAGGAGGTATTGTTACATTCCTTTCCTTCACTGCATGAGAACACTCACTGACCACAACGAGCCGGTGCAGTGTGTTTCTCTTAGTGAGGGAAAGTGCAGTGTGTTTCTTAGTGAGGGAAAGTGCAGTGTGTTTCTCTTAGTGAGGGAAAGTGTTGACTTGTCATTCTGTCTTTGGTAGGTACCACTTGGTTTTTATTGTCAGAGGTGCACTATCGACCATTTCTGGGCTCATTTGCATATGATAACTGGGGATCCAATAACGGCAAAATAGTGTTTTTCTTAGTCTATTGAGTGAAGAAAGATGGGCAGAATAAGCTCAGGAAAGAGAGGAGAGAGAAGGGTAGAGTAGGGTATAGTATAGTAGAGTAGGGTATAGTATAGTAGGGTATATTATAGTATAGTATAGTAGAGTAGGGTATAGTAAAGTATTGTAGAGTAGGGTAGGGTAGAGTAGAGCAGGGTAGAGTAGGGTATGGTATAGTATAGTAGAGTATAGTAGAGTATAGTAGAGTAGAGTATAATATAGTATGGTAGAGTAGGGTATAGTATAGTATAGTATAGTATATTATATTATATTATATTATATTATATTATATTATAGTATAGTAGGGTATAGTATAGTAGAGTAGAGTAGAGTAGAGTTGAGTAGGTCGCCCGGCCAAACTGAGCAATCGGGGGAGAAGGGCCTTGGTCAGGTAGGTGACCAAGAACCCGATGGTCACTCTGACAGAGCTCCAGACTTCCTCTGTGGAGGTGGGAGAACCTTCCAGAAGGACAACCATCTCTGCAGCACTCCACCAGTCAGGCCTTTATGGTAGAGTGGCCAGATGGAAGCCACTCCTCAGTAAAAGGCACATGACAGCCCGCTTGGAGTTTGCCAAAAGGCACCTAAAGGACTCTCAGACCATGAGAAACAAGATGCTCTGGTCTTATGAAACCAAGATTGAACTCTTTGGCCTGAATGCCAAGCATCACGTCTGGAGGAAACCAGGCACCATCCCTACGGTGAAGCATGGTGGTGGCAGCATCATGCTGTGGGGATGTTTTTCAGCGGCAGGGACTGGGAGACTAGTCAGGATCGAGGGAAAGATGAACGGAGCAAAGTACAGAGAGATCCTCGTATTCAGTACGGGCGGCAGGTAGCTTAGTGGTTAAGAGCGTTGTGCCAGTAACCGAAAGGTCGCTGGTTCTAATCCCCAAGCCGACTAGGTGAAAAATCTGTCGATGTGCCCTTGAGCAAGGCACTTAACCCTAATTGCTCCTGTAAGTCGCTCTGGATAAGAGCGTCTGCTAAATGACAAAAAAAAAAAAAAAAAAAAAAAAAGTGTATACTAGCGCTGAGCTGATAAACCATCACTAATCGCAGGCATTTTGATGATATCGTTCATTACGATAAGTAGCCTATTCTAGAGAAATGTGAAGTTTTAAATGAAATAAGTTTGCTAATATGGGTGATCGTTAAATGGGACAATTGATGGCTACAACCATTGAACTAGTACTAGTAATTTAAAGGATCATTTTAAAAACTGTGGTGCAGATTGTTATAAACGTATTGTTCTATTTATCGTTTTCGCATCAATTCAGGCAATTTATCTCGATGTGGGTTTTTGTCCATCAACGGGTGCAGCTTTGTATTGAATCTATGTCATAAGTAACATCTCAGTATGGCTGAAAGTTCAGCTCTGGATCTGTTGGTTGGAATGAAAGGTTTGGTAGAGAAGATCTGAGTAGTATTCTGAACAGGTTGGTCATGTGTTCCTTTGGACATTTATATTTCTTCCTGTAGATTCTGGCAACCATCCAAAGACCCCAAGTGTCACAACACACACACGTACGCATGCACACACACACACACACACACACACACACCTTCAAAGGCTGTGTGGTGAACAGGAGACACGGTCTGAACACACAAAGTTGCCCCAGGCCCTGTCAACAACCCTTTGACTGTTCATGTCCGCTTTCATTCTGTCATGTCACCCAGGGGACAGAGGTGGTGTCCAAGCAGAACCAAACAGAACTCACCTACTAGTGGCCAGGACTAAGAACTGTTTGTCACTGTTTGTAATTGAAGGCTGATTTAAAGGTGATGGATCAAAAAAGTTGATTAGTTGTCAAATACAACTCTTGCTATCCTTGATATTTCCACTATAGCAGTGGTATTCAAACTTTTTCAGCGTGGACGCATTTTTTTCTGTGAGAATGTCTGGGGACCCCATTTTTCTCCCAATAATTTCTCGTGACCCCACCCCAAATCTAAATGACACAACCTTAAAAATCGGTACATTTCGATTTTTACATCAACAAATAATCTTAAATTCATTGCACTTTCATCTTTTATCAAAATGAAAGAAACCAATAAATACATTTACTCAATAAAATTGTATTTTTCAATTTATCTTTCTCCAAAACGTTTGTACATTGTCCCATACAATAATCTGTACTCTTATTCTTTTGTTCCAATTTATTTTATATTTGTATCTTTTTTTGGGGCGAACCCACTGCAATTCCCGGGTCACGACCCCAACTTTGAATACCAGTGCACTAGAGTGACATTCACCACTTGAGGGTCTAGTGAATGAACTGAAGAACTAAAAGGAAACCACCTGACAGGATGCATTGTTACCATGGTGATGACGATTCCTTCTTCTTGGTTTCCAGTCTGCATTCTAAGCATATTTTAAAAGAACATCTCAGTGTCAACACGAGGGAGATGCATTCTGGGTCAGAATGCTGCTCAGATCAGATCAAAAGATTGACAGATAGACACCTGCCAAACAGTGAGTCAATACTCTGTGTGTATGTGTGCGTGTGCATGCGTCACACACAAAAAGGAACTAAGAATGGAGCTGCACGGGGACACGTTTGGCCGTCGAACACATTGCTAAAAAGGCCACGCCAACCGCCGCATAAAGCTGGAATGCAAATTGCAATCCGTGTAGTCTAGCTAATCCTAGGATGGCTAGAACAGGATTCAAATGGGACCCTATTCCATTCATAGTGCACTACTTTTGACCAGGGCCCATGGGGTTATATAAGGAAGAGGGTGCCATTTGGGAACCAGCTCTACAATGTTCTGGAACATTCTTGTGCTGAAGCCAAATGAAGAATCTCCCCCTCAGAGGAAGGATCACATTTCTGGCAGATAAAAACAGCAGAGTTGAGATTCCTCTGGTTAGTAGCTACTCATTTAGGAAACTGAAGAAGAAGAAAAATACTTTATTGTCCATTGTCTTGGAGTGTACAGAAATTCTCTGCTTTCAGGACAAGAGACTAGAAAGTAGGAAGTAGAAACTGTGGGTTCCTTTGTCAGCGTGGCACCGTGCAGACAATGATGAAGGATTCCTTTGTCAGCGTGGCACCGTGCAGACAATGATGAAGGATTCCTTTGTCAGCGTGGCACCGTGCAGACAATGATGAAGGATTCCTTTGTCAGCGTGGCACCGTGCAGACAATGATGAAGGATTCCTTTGTCAGCGTGGCACCGTGCAGACAATGATGAAGGATTCCTTTGTCAGCGTGGCACCGTGCAGACAATGATGAAGGATTCCTTTGTCAGCGTGGCACCGTGCAGACAACGATGAAGGATTCCTTTGTCAGCGTGGCACCGTGCAGACAATGATGAAGGATTCCTTTGTCAGCGTGGCACCGTGCAGACAATGATGAAGGATTCCTTTGTCAGCGTGGCACCGTGCAGACAATGATGAAGGATTCCTTTGTCAGCGTGGCACCGTGCAGATAATGATCAGTTCTTGTCACATCATGCACTTTCAGAAGTAACATTGAGTGCTAACTCTAACAGACGTGTCCCAATGCAGTCAAAAGGACAACTTCCTTGATCAATCTTTTCCCAATGAACAGTTGAAGGAAACTCAGATGTGTGAATGACACTGTAGTAAAAAAAAAAGTCAAGTCCACTGATTGCTTGCTGAGCATGCATGATATGTAGTCTTAAATATCTTGAACAATCAAAAGTGCAGTTGGAGAAAAGAAAACCAAGTCATATCTCAGAAGAGCCAATCTGTGGGCTGTATGAACAGCCTAGGCTACCGGAGTCAGCATTGGTTAGAATCTGAACAACTTCTCTTCTGACTCTCAAACTCTCCTACCTTTCCTATCTCAATAAAAATCAATAAAAACCCTACAAGTACATATTTAAAGAAAAGATGTGGGGATGAGAGGATACTAACCTTTGACCTTAGCGATGACGGTGCCGGCAGCCCTGAGGATGTCTACAGAGTTGAGGGTCTGGTGTTTGCCGATGACGGACTTGAGAACACGCAGCAGCTCCCTCAACCGTTCCTGTACCCGCTGAGGGAGACCATCATGGCTTTCTGGAAGAGAGGAGACCAACCGCTCCTGTACCCGCTGAGGGAGACCATCATGGCTTTCTGGAAGAGAGGAGACCAACCGCTCCTGTACCCGCTGAGGAAGACCATCATGGCTTTCTGGAAGAGAGGAGACCAACCGCTCCTGTACTCGCTGAGGGGGACCATCATGGCTTTCTGGAAGAGAGGAGAAGGACAGAAACAGATCTGTCAAGTAACATTTTTATTAAAAACAGATTATAATACCAATTTACATAGTCGTCATAGCCATCCTGGCTTTCGGGAGAAGATGAGAAAGAATAACAGATCTGCCAAGTAAGTATATTAACATAGGAAAGAGATCTGAAACAATAATGATCCCACCAAGTGCAAACTCCCAAATATGTCCAAAAGGCCATTGTTCCCCACTGAGAAGCCTAAAGGACAGGTGATCAGTGTTTTGTAGTGAATTATAGTGAGACTTTTTGACAAGACTAGAAAAATATGTTAGTTTGGAATTTTGGGAATTTTAACAACAATTGATTCTAGGCTACATACAGTTCCTTGCAAAAGTATTCATCCCCCTTGGCGTTTTTCCTATTTTGTTGCATTACAACCTGTCATTTAAATTGATTTTTATTTGGATTTCATGTAATGGGACATACACAAAATAGTCCAAATTGGTGAAGTGAAATGAAAAAAATAACTTGTTTCAAAAAATTCTAAAAAATAAATAACGGAAAAGTGGTGCGTGCATATGTATTCACCCCCTTTGCTATGAAGCCCCTAAATTAAATCTGGTGCAACGAATTACCTCCAGAAGTCACATAATTAGTTAAATAAAGTCCACCTGTGTGCAATCTAAGTGTCACATGATCTGTCACATGATCTCAGTATATATACACCTGTTCTGAAAGGCCCCAGAGTCTGCAACACCACTAAGCAAGGGGCACCACCAAGCAAGCAGCACCATGAAGACCAGGGAGCTCTCCAAACAGGTCAGGGACAAAGTTGTGGAGAAGTACAGATCAGGGATGGGTTATAAAACAATATCCGAAACTTTGAACATCCCACGGAGCACCATTAAATCCATTATTAAAAAATTGAAAGAATATGGCACCACAACAAACCTGCCAAGAGAGGGCCACTCACCAAAACTCACGGACCAGGCAAGGAGGGCATTAATCAGAGAGGCAACAAAGATACCAAAGATAACCCTGAAGGAGCTGCAAAGCTCCACAGTGGAAATTGGAGTATCTGTCCATAGGACCACTTTAAGCCGTACACTCCACAGAGCTGGGCTTTACGGAAGAGTGGCCAGAAAAAAGCCATTGCTTAAAGAAAAAAATAAGCAAACACATTTGGTGTTCGCCAAAAGCCATGTGGGAGACTCCCCAAACATATGGAAGAAGGTACTCTGGTCTGATGAGACTAAAATTGAGCTTTTTGGCCATCAAGGAAAACACTATGTCTGGCGCAAACCCAACACCTCTCATCACCCCGAGAACACCATCCCCACAGTGAAGCATGGTGGTGGCAGCATCATGCTGTGGGGATGTTTTTCATTGGCAGGGACTGAGAAACTGGTCAGAATTTAAGGAATGAAGGATGGCGCTAAATACAGGGAAATTCTTGAGGGAAACCTGTTTCCGTCTTCCAGAGATTTAAGACTGGGATGGAGGTTCACCTTCCAGCAGGACAATGATCCTAAGGCATACTGTTAAAGCAACACTCGAGTGGTTTAAGGGGAAACATTTAAATGTCTTGGAATAGCCTAGTGAAAGCCCAGACCTCAATCCAATTGAGAATCTGTGGTATGACTTAAAGATTGCTGTACACCAGCGGAACCCATCCAACTTGAAGGAGCTGGAGCAGTTTTGCCTTGAAGAATGGGCAAAAATCCCAGTGGCTAGATGTGCCAAGCTTATAGAGACATACCCCAAGAGACTTGCAGCTGTAATTGCTGCAAAAGGTGGCTCTACAAAGTATTGACTTTGGGGGGGGGGGGGGGGGGGGGGGGTGAATAGTTATGCAGGCTCAAGTTTTCAGTTTGTTTGTCTTATTTCTTATTTGTTTCACAAGAAAAAATATTTTGCATCTTCAAAGTGGTAGGCATGTTGTGTAAATCAAATGATACAAACCCCCCCAAAAAATCCATTTTAATTCCAGGTTGTAAGGCAACAAAATAGGAAAAATGGGGGGGGTGAACACTTTCGCAAGCCACTTTATCAGCCAAATCTGTGAGGAATCAGAACTATGACCTGTTACATTGTGACCCTTAGGGTCACCCATTGCAGAGAGAATGCAATGCATGGCATTCTTTTAGTGTTTACTTTACCAACACCCACATTAGGTACAGCAATAATGGAGTGTGTATATGTCATTAGATGGAGGCATCCGTCTCTCTGTCTCTGGAGTGGGATTGCATAAGACTGGAAACTAAAGTAATTGTGGTTGAGAGAAGCTGTTTGTGATGCAACTGCCCTGTTCCACTTTAGCCGACAAGTAAAAAATGGCCCTTGTTTTGTTTTAAATTAAAGAAACGTAAAACAAATATCTCACTGTACAGAGCAACAAGTGACGATTAGGTTAAGTAATGATTGGCCTCAACTAACCAATCAGGTGATAGGCTAGTACTTATACAGACAGAGTAGGCTAGTCTATCTCTTTCCTATGAACAGTATGACAGATCTCCCCTGAATTATCTCTTTCCTATGAACAGTATGACAGATCTCCCCTGAATTATCTCTTTCCTATGAACAGTATGACAGATCTCCCCTGAATTATCTCTTTCCTATGAACAGTATGACAGATCTCCCCTGGATTATCTCTTTCCTATGAACAGTATGACAGATCTCCCCTGGATTATCTCTTTCCTATGAACAGTATGACATTTAATTCTAAAAGGGTTGTTGACACCTACACAGCCGAAAGGGGAGGGGATGTTTTCTTGTCTCTGTGTGGAGTAATCAGTAGCGGGTCTGGGTCTGTGTCCCAAATGGCCCATAGTGCACTACTTCGGCCTATAGTGCACTACTTTTGACCAGACCCCATTGGGCTCTGGTTAAAAGTAGTGCACTATGTAGGGAATAGGGTGCCATTTGAGACACAGACCCTATTGCTTGGCAAGTGGACCAATCAGTAGTAGTTCTATAGTAATCTGTTGTGGGTCTAGGGTTTGGGCTTGGCGCCAGACAGTAGTGCGAGTTCATGTCTGAGTCTCACCCACTGTTTAGGACTGACGGACGACATGCCCTCATACCCAGCCCTCTACCAGACACACTCCACTGGGAGGATGAGTGAAGAGGAGGAATGTATTGGGTAGGAAAGGGGAATTACAGGGGGAGTGAAAACTGGGAAAGCCGAGTGGGGGGGGGGTTGGGGGGGGGGGGGGGGGGGTTTGGGGGTGCTAGTGTGTTCCATTCCGGCTAGATCCAACATGCCACCCCTCCCTCCACTCTCTCTCTCACACACACACACACACACACACACACACACACACACACGCGGTGTCCACCCATATACACAGGAAACGTTCAGTATTTTCAGAAAATATTTTTTTTATGGGGAGTAAGTGGTTGAGGTGAGCCCCATGAACCTGAATAACAGTTCATTACTGACATCATGACACACCTTTTAGTATTAGTGACGCAGCATGGCATATATGGGTGGCCTTCTAAACATAGTGTTGCCAGTTTATAGTGAAACTTGCAGCACAGAAGCACAGCCTACACGATGACTCTATACAGGCTAGCACTCAGAGAGGAGTACAGCTGTGAGACTAAGTGAAACAGCCTACGTGATGACTCTATACAGGCTAGCACTCAGAGAGGAGTACAGCTGTGAGACTAAGAGAAACAAGTCTTAGTGAAACACCCTCCAGTCAAACAAAATTAGGCCTAGTCTACCCTCCTCCTCCTCTTCCTCCTCCTCCTCTTCCCTCCTCTTCTTCCTCTTCCTCCTTCAGCTCTACTGTTCCCAGATAATTGGCTAGGCTAAACCTTTAAAACATAACAAGCTGGCTGACCCTCCACCCGCTCCACCCGCTCCACCCACAGAGACTAACGAACACTAGGCCTGTGGAGGAGCAGGGGTCTCGCCTGGAGGCTTTCCCCAGGGCAGGAGGCCCCCCTGAACCCTGCCACTCGCACTTTGAAGTCCCCTTTCTTGTAGATTCAGACAATAGGCTTTCATTGAAACACCAACACCCTGCTTTGATCCTTCCTTTTCATAGTGGTCAGTAGGGTAGTTATGGGGTAACCTGCCGTGTGTTGGAAGCTTCTCAGAGGGAAGTTGGTTAAGTAATAGCATCACCACACAGAGACACACACACACACACACACTATTAGCATTACACAGCTAGCTATTAGCTAATAATGATATTGATGGGCCACATCTGAGGATGTAATGTGGATATGAATGATAGTGGGCTGTGACTGGTAATGACTCTTCTATAACGCGTTATAAATCACAGCTAATCACAGGATCTCCCGTTCGCCTTTTGACCTGAAAGGAATCAGGAAGTGGAATAAGATGTAAAGAAAGGAATAGGAATGTCTAACTTACCCCCTCCATCGCCAATAGGCTAATGGCTGGCAAATCTTCACCAATCACCAACCGTCTTTCCCCATAAATGAGTAGGCCTATATCGCCAGGTGATACTACTCAGTACAGTACAACAATGTCTAGCCAGCATGCAAGGAAACAAGTAAAATCAGGGCCTGTATCCACAAAGGGCTGACACTCCTACTCAGCGATGCTTTGTGAATATGGGCCCAAGCTCACTGGACGTTTGTTCCCGACGCTGAGAGCCAGGGAAGCCACCCAGGGAACTGTTTTCCTGGTCTGTGTCCCAAATGGCCAATAGACCTCTGGTCAAAGCTAGTGCCATTTGTGGCACAGCCTTGGGCTTGGCTGGACTAGTCACTACAACTCCCTGGGCTAGTCACTACAACTCCCTGGGCTAGTCACTACAACTCCCTGGGCTAGTCACTACAACTCCCTGGGCTAGTCACTACAACTCCCTGGACTAGTCACTACAACTCCCTGGACTAGTCACTACAACTCCCTGGGCTAGTCACTACAACTCCCTGGGCTAGTCACTACAACTCCCTGGGCTAGTCACTACAACTCCCTGGACTAGTCACTACAACTCCCTGGGCTAGTCACTACAACTCCCTGGGCTAGTCACTACAACTCCCTGGACTAGTCACTACAACTCCCTGGGCTAGTCACTACAACTCCCTGGGCTAGTCACTACAACTCCCTGGGCTAGTCACTACAACTCCCTGGACTAGTCACTACAACTCCCTGGGCTAGTCACTAACAACTCCCTGGGCTAGTCACTACAACTCCCTGGACTAGTCACTACAACTCCCTGGGCTAGTCACTACAACTCCCTGGACTAGTCACTACAACTCCCTGGACTAGTCACTACAACTCCCTGGGCTAGTCACTACAAACTCCCTGGGCTAGTCACTACAACTCCCTGGGCTAGTCACTACAACTCCCTGGACTAGTCACTACAACTCCCTGGACTAGTCACTACAACTCCCTGGGCTAGTCCACTACAACTCCCTGGGCTAGTCACTACAACTCCCTGGACTAGTCACTACAACCTCCCTGGACTAGTCACTACAACTCCCTGGCTAGTCACTACAACTCCCTGGGCTAGTCACTACAACTCCCTGGACTAGTCACTACAACTCCCTGGGCTAGTCACTACAAACTCCCTGGGCTAGTCACTACAACTCCCTGGGCTAGTCCACTACACTCCCCTGGACTAGTCACTACAACTCCCTGGAACTAGTCACTACAACTCCCTGGGCTAGTCACTACAACTCCCTGGGCTAGTCACTACAACTCCCTGGACTAGTCACTACAACTCCCTGGACTAGTCACTACAACTCCCTGGGCTAGTCACTACAACTCCCTAGATTAGTCACTACAACTCCCTGGACTAGTCACTACAACTCCCTAGATTAGTCACTACAACTCCCTGGACTAGTCACTACAACCCCCTGGACTAGTCACTACAACTCCCTGGGCTTGTGGGCTTGGCTGGACTAGTCACTACAACTCACTGGGCTAGTCACTACAACTCCCTGGACTAGTCACTAAATCTCCCTGGGCTAGTCACTACAACTCCCTGGACTAGTCACTAAATCTCCCTGGACTAGTCACTACAACTCCCTGGACTAGTCACTACAACTCCCTGGGCTTGGCTGTACTAGTCACTACAACTCACTGGGCTAGTCACTACAACTCCCTGGGCTAGTCACTACAACTCCCTGGACTAGTCACTACAACTCCCTGGGCTAGTCACTACAAACTCCCTGGGCTAGTCACTACAACTCCCTGGACTAGTCACTACAACTCCCTGGGCTAGTCACTACAACTCCCTGGGCTAGTCACTACAACTCCCTGGACTAGTCACTACAACTCCCTGGACTAGTCACTACAACTCCCTGGGCTAGTCACTACAACTCCCTGGGCTAGTCACTACAACTCCCTGGACTAGTCACTACAACTCCCTGGGCTAGTCACTACAACTCCCTAGATTAGTCACTACAACTCCCTGGACTAGTCACTACAACTCCCTAGATTAGTCACTACAACTCCCTGGACTAGTCACTACAACTCCCTGGACTAGTCACTACAACTCCCTGGGCTTGTGGGCTTGGCTGGACTAGTCACTACAACTCACTGGGCTAGTCACTACAACTCCCTGGACTAGTCACTAAATCTCCCTGGGCTAGTCACTACAACTCCCTGGACTAGTCACTAAATCTCCCTGGGCTAGTCACTACAACTCCCTAGACTAGTCACTACAACTCCCTGGACTAGTCACTACAACTCCCTGGACTAGTCACTACAACTCCCTGGGCTTGGCTGGACTAGTCACTACAACTCACTGGGCTAGTCACTACAACTCCCTGGGCTAGTCACTAAATCTCCCTGGGCTAGTCACTACAACTCCCTAGACTAGTCACTACAACTCCCTGGACTAGTCACTACAACTCCCTGGGCTAGTCACTACAACTCCCTGGACTAGTCACTACAACTCCCTGGGCTAGTCACTACAACTCCCTGGGCTAGTCACTACAACTCCCTGGACTAGTCACTACAACTCCCTGGACTAGTCACTACAACTCCCTGGGCTAGTCACTACAACTCCCTGGGCTAGTCACTACAACTCCCTGGACTAGTCACTACAACTCCCTGGGCTAGTCACTACAACTCCCTGGGCTAGTCACTACAACTCCCTGGGCTAGTCACTACAACTCCCTGGACTAGTCACTACAACTCCCTGGGCTAGTCACTACAACTCCCTGGGCTAGTCACTACAACTCCCTGGACTAATCACTACAACTCCCTGGGCTTGACTGGACTAGTCACTACAACTCCCTGGACTAGTCACTAAATCTCCCTGGGCTAGTCACTACAACTCCCTGGGCTAGTCACTACAACTCCCTGGACTAGTCACTACAACTCCCTGGACTAGTAACTACAACTCCCTGGACTAGTCACTACAACTCCCTGGGCTTGGCTGGACTAGTCACTACAACTCCCTGGACTAGTCACTACAACTCCCTGGGCTAGTCACTACAACTCACTGGGCTAGTCACTACAACTCCCTGGGCTAGTCACTACAACTCCCTGGGCTAGTCACTACAACTCCCTGGACTAGTCACTACAACTCCCTGGACTAGTCACTACAACTCCATGGACCAGTCACTACAACTCCCTAGATTAGTCACTACAACTCCCTGGGCTTGGCTGGACTAGTCACTACAACTCACTGGGCTAGTCACTACAACTCCCTGGGCTAGTCACTAAATCTCCCTGGGCTAGTCACTACAACTCCCTGGACTAGTCACTATAACTCCCTGGACTAGTCACTACAACTCCCTGGGCTAGTCACTACAACTCCCTGGACTAGTCACTATAACTCCCTGGACTAGTCACTACAACTCCCTGGGCTAGTCACTACAACTCCCTGGGCTAGTCACTACAACTCCCTGGGCTAGTCACTACAACTCCCTGGACTAGTCACTACAACTCCCTGGACTAGTCACTACAACTCCCTGGGCTAGTCACTACAACTCCCTGGGCTAGTCACTACAACTCCCTGGGCTAGTCACTACAACTCCCTGGACTAGTCACTACAACTCCCTGGGCTAGTCACTACAACTCCCTGGACTAGTCACTACAACTCCCTGGGCTAGTCACTACAACTCCCTGGACTAGTCACTACAACTCCCTGGACTAGTCACTACAACTCGCTGGACTAGTCACTACAACTCCCTGGGCTAGTCACTACAACTCCCTGGGCTAGTCACTACAACTCCCTGGACTAGTCACTACAACTCCCTGGACTAGTCACTACAACTCCCTGGACTAGTCACTACAACTCCCTGGACTAGTCACTACAACTCCCTGGACTAGTCACTACAACTCCCTCCATATTGTTTAGAGGAAGACCATCTGCTGACTCAACCGAGGGCCCCTTGTCTTTCGGTTCTGTGTGTGTGTGTCCTTTCTGCTGTGGAGTGAGATATCTGACCCTCCCAGCCAGCCATGCTTCCCGCTCAGTCTGTCCCATGTTTGTTTACTCCCAGATCAGGCCCTTGGCGACACCCCCCCCCTCACCCCTGCCTGCTAGGCTTAACCCTAACCAGAGTCGAGGTTGATTCCAGTTACATTCCTGTACAATTGGACATGAAATTCCTCCGTCCATAGGAATGCAATTCAATTTTAGATTTTTGGTTTGTTTACCCCCAGATCAGGCCATGCCTCTCAACTTGATCCCGTACTCAACACCCCCCTTCTCCTCCAAGGGAGTAGTCTCGATGTTAACCAGAGTTGAGGTTTGCCTTAATTCCTGCTGAATTGGACAAGTCATTTCTCTACAGGAATGCAATTCAATCCCTGAATTGGCTGGACTATTATTGCTATGCTGACCAAGAGAAAACCTCATAACTACACTATAAATGACCTAGAGTTATGCATTTCAAATGTGTGTCATTTAACATAAAGGGGTGTTAAAGTTACATCTACGCTATTTCCATGTAAAAGGACCCATGACCAACATCATCTGAAGTTCATAGGAGCCCATCCAATTTGGTGTCAAATGAAAGCCTTTTTATTTTTATTTTATTAAGAATATATACATTTTTCAACCATTTTCCATCCTAAAATTTGAAATAAGCAAAGGCTTGATTTCTGGTCAAACATTATCTACTATTAGTTGACCCTTGTCAACTAATATCAACATTTATATTACATTTTGCTGAAATTATTTTCCTTCTGTAAATTTAAGAAATATTGCCTTGTGTCTTGTCATTTATTCTGTTAAAAAACCCCACATATCTTTAAAATATTTTCAAATTTCTGGAGGGAGGATAATGGTAGACCTAGAAGGTAGACCTAGAATGTAGAAATAGAATGTAGACCTAGAAGGTAGACCTAGATGTAGAAATAGAATGTAGACCTAGAAGGTAGACCTAGGTCTCCCTCTCTCTCTCTCTCTCTGTCACTCTCCCTGTCTAACTGTCTCTCTCTCTCTCTCCGTC